CCATACTACCTCAACTTTATTCCACTTCCCAAGCTTCCCTTTTTTAATCCAAGGTTATGTTTTCTTACCTGTGCGAGGTTGTGTCCGCAGTCGTACATTTTTACATGGAACTATCCAAAGTTACACTAACCTTGCCCGTCAACGCCTTGCAGGCTGCAGGCAAAAATGCATCTCCACAGCACATAGTTGTCAGACTTGTAGTCCGCGGAGGCGGCGCCTAATGGCGAAATTCGTTCCTTCGCCCTTGCCCAACGATGGGACAGATACCCAAACTTGGCCGGCGAGCGAGGCTTTGCGCAAGCCAATTCGTGGGAGTCATGCTGCGTGCCAGTTGATGGTGCTTTATCGGGAAGAAAAGGGAAGGGAGAACAACTTCTTACATCCATGCTCCACAATTTTAAGATGCCGAGCTACTGCTTTTATAGACAGCAGCGTTCCGCATATACTAGCATCTAGTTGAGTAGTAGGAAGGTCGCACGAAGAAAACATGTTTTTGCCGGGACATTGCCTGACGACTTCCGGATCAGTTAGAATGAATTCAAACTGATCCGGAAGTTCTGCGGGAACTGTGTTGCATGCGCTGCAGCTGCCGATATGTAGTTTTACGTTGACGACCTTGTGCATACGCACGTATGCATGCCCTGAGTCCCTTGGGTGGAGGACTATATGTCGCCGAAAAAGGGCGGTCCTCGCGGTCATTTGCGACAAATACGCACCCTTGTACATACGCGGACATGCGTTCCTGCAGGGAATCCGCGCGGGACTCTTCCAAATCCGGCGACATATAGTCCTCCACCCGAGTCCCTTTAGCATTTTCGTGCATCCTCGCATATGCACGCTAGTTTTTTTTAGGTATGATCGAAAAGTTCTAATGAAACTTCTATGCGGTAATACTACTGGTGCCCTGATTGTCTTGTAGAACACAGGGCATCGCGGCAACTTTTCAAAAGTTTGGACCGCAAAATTGAGTGATCACTCCATTTTTGATGTGGTAAATACATGCTAATTACGTTTTTCCGAGAAGGTGGAGACTCTGTACAGCTATTTTGAAAGCAAACAAGGATGAATCAAGCGAAAAACACCTGCTATCACAACGCTTTTCCTCAAGAGGGATTCCCCAGATATAGCCTTTGCATGGTTTATTGGAGGGAAAATCGAAGCAAAAACCATGATTTGTGCAACTCCTGGTAAAACTCTGTGGTATACATGTATTTCTGAACAAAGTTCGCATGTTTTATGAAAAAGCGTCAAAAAGACTCCCACATAATGTTTTTGTGCACACGCGCATATGCACGGGCCAAATGCGAGAAGGACGTTAGTGGGAGTTTCGCTCAAAATGGCGCGGTCGTCAACGTGTTAAGCGACGCTAGTAGAAGACTATGACCGTTCTAAACGGTTCTTCTCGATTTCACTCATTTCGCTCTCATTCCCTTTACTCCGCTTCTTTTTTAGATGAGAGGCTCGCTCTCGAAGCGGGCTTGGAGAATGAGCGCCATTCTACCATGTATCCGGAAAGATGTGTCTTCTTGCACTTGTCCATCCTTTTTTCGTTGATTTTATTGACCCACTTCAGCTTTCTAAAAACTGCTTTTGCGCCATTCAATACTGGGGAACTATGAAGCGGCTTCCTGGAGCACATGAAGTAGGTCTGAACAAAAATAACGACGACACATCTTCCCGTATACATGGAGCAGTACAGCTTTCATTCTCCAAATCAGCTTCAAGTTCGCAGCCTTTCTCATCACAAGGTGAAGCGAGGAAGAGAGAAGAACGGATAAGCAATGGTGCGGAAAAAGGAAAGGGGCTGACAACCAAAGTGAAACTCGTCAGAAAATTAGGGGAAGTCCAATTTTGCACTTTGAGAATTGTTTGTACAGGGCTTATTTGCAGTGTCGAGTGCACCAGCATCTCCATTTCCTCGCGGCATCTTCCCGAATACGTAGAAGCAGAACGGCGCTCATTCTCCAATTCCGCTTCAAGATCGAGACTCCTCTCATCAAAAGGGGAAGAGTATAGCAATGACGAAATGAGGAAAAACCGAGAAAAACCGTTAGAAACGGTCAGCTCCCGCCTCTCAAAACCACGGAGGGCAAGCGTTAGGCGACAAAACGTGCAAAACGCAAACAACCTAAATCCCGTAACTCAAAACTATGCACCACCATTTTTTTCATTGGTGTCGGGTAATGTATCGGCCCCGACCCCCACCCCCCTCCCCCTGTTTTTGGCGGAGGAGACGCTTTGCACGGGGAGTTCTTTGGGGTCCAAAAAGCTGGGTTTGTCGCCTAACGCCCTACACCCCAGAACCGCATGCGGCCGGCTGCGGCGCTTGTAGGGGTAGAGGACTATATGGGGTGGAGGACTATATGTCGCCGGGTTTGAAAGAGTCCCGCGCGGATTCCCTGCAGGAACGCATGTCCGCGCATGTATAAGGGTGCATATTTGTCGCAAATGACCGCGGGGACCGGCCCTTTTTCGGCGACATATAGTCCGGGTGGAGGACTATATGTCGCCGAAAAAGGGCGGTCCTTGCGGTCATTTGCGACAAATGCACCCTTATACATGCGCGGACATGCGTTCCTGCACGGAATCCGCGCGGGACTCTTCCAAATTTGGCGACATATAGTCCTCCACCCCGCTTGTAGCACATTCCGACAAGCGTCAGCACAGTCCGAAAACCCTATGAACTCAGCCATAGATCAGCTACAGGACAAAGGTGAATACCTCTCGAGTTATTCTCCTGCTCACGTCACCACTGTAGCTGCACATCAGCATTTGCTTTTGGTCCCTATCATGTCAAGAAATCTCCGTCTTGGATTGCACACAGCTTTTCACGAATGCATGTTAGGGAACGGCCATAGGTTGTCGGTGTTGTCGATGTTGTCGGTGTTGTCGGTGTTGTCGATGTTGTCGATGTTGTCGGTGTTGTCGGTTTGTCGGTGTTGTCGGTTTGTCGGTGTTGTCGGTGTTGTCGGTGTTGTCGGGGTTGTCGGGGTTGCCGGTCGTTGCAGGACCTCATGATAGCCTCCACGTTTCGCGCGCTCTCTAAACTGTCTCTGACCCCGACAACCCCGACAACATCGACAACACCGACAACACCGACAACACCGACAACATCGACAACACCGACAACATCGACAACACCGACAACACCGACAACCTATGGCCGTTCCCTTAAAGTCTGTCCCAGTCGCAAACAGGCCAAATTTGGATTTGCGCACCGCCGCTGTGCCACGTCTACACGGTTTCAACCCGTCCATCCGGCTCACTTCATTCGCTATTGGTCAACTCATTGACTTGACCAATAGCAAACGGATGTACCGGACGAACCGGTTGAACCGAATAAGTCTGGCACCTAACAAAGGGAACAGTGGTCTTTCCGGTGGGTACTTCCAACATGGCCTCGTTTCCGACATTGTTATGCGTCAAGTCCATATTCGCGCTCATCATAGAATGATGTGGAAATTAGCACACGGAAACCGAGCGTTACCGTTGCGGCTCATGGGGAGGTGGAGCCATTCTCTTCGCGCACTTTTTTGAGGTCTGCTGCTATCATTTTCGTGTAGGAATGTTTAAAAGAGACCAGAGAGATGGAGTAAGCTTGTGTTGCAGCAGCTGGCGTTATAAACAAAAACACGTTTGGATAAATGTGCAACTATCAAATCAAGCAAGCTTTTGAATCATTATCACCTCATTGATGCAAGTTCTACAATTTCAGTTAACGCTATGTTTGGATTGTTCTTTCTTCTTATGAATCTACATGTGGACTGCACGTGTGAAGGCGTTGTTTAACATCATGGTATCGATTCAGAGGAACTGGCCTCTGCTAGTTTTATATATCGGGTATAACTCAAACTTTCATTCGTGGCCATAAATTGAGGTTCTACAAACTTTTTCACATTTTGTCGCATCTTTTGTGTGGGACTGTATTTGTGCGTTTGGAGCTATTGTCACGAGAAATGACGTCAATTCATAGCGATGAACTAAAAAGTACGATGACTAGTTTTGTGTAGTGTTGATAGCAGTTAGCTGCAGATGATGTCGTATTCGCTATATTTCAAGGTATTTTTTTTCAATAACTTTGACATTAGGCTTATAAAGCTATCTTATGTTATGAAATATCTTATGTTTATTTTGCTGCCTCGGTGTTCTTCCCTTCACTTTTCTGTCATAAGAAATCATGGCTTTTCATGTTCTGGAAGCTAATTATAGTGGTTACAGTAATGGGCATACGACAATTCGTTAGACAAAAGTTCTCCTTAAGAGCCGCTTTTTTCATTGCCTTTTTTTGCTGATACCAGCAATTATTTTTCACAAGGGAAACGTAGTAAGAGTTTTTTTTCACAAGTGCCAACAAATAATTTGTGCACGCGTGCTAATTGCGCGACTTTTGAACGCTCATTGTTTTCAGGACGCCGCTATTTATCTTGTTTTTGCAGAAAACTATTCAGAGTGTATTTTTTTCTAGATTTATTATCTCTGACCTTTCTCAATGTGATTTACACAATTGCACTCCCATATCACAGCAGTCCAGTTTGTCTTTTTCTTGGAGAACAACCGGTGTATGTACGTAAAGGAACTGAATGAACACATGATGTAATGAACATTCTGAAATGCTCGGATATGGTTCTAGAAAGAATGCTATGCTCCGAAAACCTTCTGCTGAATAGGCATGATTCATTTCTACCCAGATATTGATTTGTTTGTGATTAGGCATTCTTACATTCTCAATTTGTATACAAATTCATTTCCATATGCACAAAATGCAACTGGAAGTATGTACTTGCATACTTCGTAGGTTAAGTAACGAAGGTTTATGATCAAACAACCAGGAATGGTCTGAGCAGAAAACTTCATAAATATGTGTTTCTCCGAAACGCGAATATTTTCCCGATGATCCGAACAAGTTTCGCCCGTTCCATTTTCTCGGTTCCCTGTAATTGCTTTGATTTGCCTTCATACACATCACTTTTGATCTGACGATTCCATGTTCGACAAATAATTATGTTTTCAGGAAGGGATGCTTGGGAAGGTTATTGCACAGAGGAGATGTCGTCGAAAGAAGAGGAATTCGCTGGTTTCGCTCACTGAAACGCATGAGAATAAGAAACCCATGGAGAAAGAAATACAGTCACAAAATGTCATCGATGCAAATACAACTGCTGGTGTACAGACTCGGAGAAATAGCCCGTTGGTTGCATTTCCTTCTGTTTACCACTGTTTGGTTCCTTTATTTAGCGTGCATTTTGATTATAGAATGGTTGTTTTGTTACGCGTTGACTAGGAGTGAATAACTCTAACAGAAACTGGAATAAAAAGAGTAATTTTGGTAGAGCGGTCCTCTTTGACCACATAAAAGGAACTTGACTTTTTGGCTATGGTCTTTTTGGCATGTTCCAACTAGATTACGGCCATGGTTGCCCGCACATTTGTGTGGTGTGAATCTTCCTACTTAAAGATCTGTACGCCTTTTTTGACTTGTACCTCATTTCTTGGCTGATACTAGTTCGCTCTTTCTCGGAATGCCCGACAACTTGCTTGATCGTATTTATCACGTTCAGAAGGAAAGCTGTGCAAGATGTCTCGAACCATAAAATCACGGACTTCTTTCCTGTTCGCCGAAGTTCCCGAAAAACAGGCAAACAGTTGGAGGTTGGTGAAGACTAATTTGTTCATTATTCATCTTAATTATCAACATTATGGGTTGCTCAGGTAAAACATTTAGGAAGAAGAGAAATATGCTTTGCGTGATGCCATACACAATTTGACCAATGAGCCGCTCCTTGAAGTCTATATAGACGAAAAGAAAGGACGTGGCATTCGAGCTGCCAAATCATTTATGAAAAACGAATTTGTTATTGAGTACAAAGGTTTGTAATTTTAGCTTCAGTTCGCTGCATATTAGTCGAGATTTTTCAGGAGATATGATGGACTACAACTCAGCAAAGCTTCGCGAAGAAGAATATGCAAAAGATCCCACTATTGGTTCTTACATGTACTTCTTCAAGTACAAAAGTAAAAGATGGTGTGTGGACGCAACGAAAGAGTCAGTTTATAAGGGGCGACTCATCAACCACAGTGCGCTCCGTCCTAATCTGCGCACGAAAGTGGGTTTGACCACAGTTGTTTTACATTTACTATTTTTTCTTTTTTTTGCGATGATTATCTGTGCTATTGTAAGCCGAGAACTGGTTAGTCTCGCTATCGCTTTATATTTCTGTCATATTTTGCTCGCACTATTCATATCGACGATAGTCCCTCCCAGCTTGTTTTCCTTTTTGTTTTCCTTGCATGTTGAATTTTTGCTTTTGGAACTTAGTACCTACTCCTGTCATTGGATCGGATAATTCACCTGATTCGACTTCTGCAGCTAGAGACACGGAATAACAACGCAGTTTTCGCTGGCAGTCAAGTGATTAGTTAAGCATGACAATCGAAACCGATGGTTAGTTGGAAGCTGAAACTACGGTTTACAAGGTCATCAGCCGCTGACCATATTTTGAACGTTAATCTTGCTGTGAGTAACGAGATTGGCTCAGTTAGTCGAAAAATCTATATCGACGTTTCACTCACAAAAGTAGATTACTCGAAGTGACAGTGTTTGGTATCAGATGCGCCCTTGGAGCTTGACGCTGATCTCAAATCCGCCTTCGTTATGTGAAGGGCTTAGAGGAAGTCGCCTTCTACACTTATTCTACTAATCATGTCGGTGAATTACGTTGTCTCCACAAAGATGAATGAACATGTATTAGGTTGTCCGGAAATTGATGCAGGTTTTGAATTCCAACCGCAATAAGTCATACACCTTCAATTTCTAAGTAGGTTGCAAAACAACATTCGATAGAACAAAGCAAGCTCTATAGGATGGCAATCTTGCTTTAGCAACAGCTCTGATCCACCACGAGTTTCAAGCCAAAAACTAAAAAATTCTAGTGCCCGAAAATTTGAGAAAAATCGTAACTCAGTTCATAAAAATCTACAAACTAAATTTCGTAAAAATCCTACAAAAATCTAACTCGCTCACGTAAACACAATTCACATAAGGCATCTATATACGCTGTTGCCGTCTTTTTATCTCTGTTAGAAATCAAGAAAACGGAAATTTTCATGCATTTGCCGAAGTGGTGCTTCCCACATACTTAGTTGTATACTACAAACCTTTAGAAGTATAAACGTAAATTTTCAGCTCTCTACAAGCTTCAGTTCTCGAGAAATATCGAATACAGTTTTCCCTAGTCATGTGGTCCAAGCTAAAATTCAAATTTCTCGAGAACTAAAGCTTATAGAGAGCTGGAAATTTACATTTGAACTTCTACAGGTTTGTAGTATACAACTACTTATGTGGGAACGACAAGCACCACTTTGGAGTGCACGAAAACTTCCGTTTTGATTTCTAACAGAGAAAAAAAATGCTGCAACGCGAATATAGATGTCATATGTGGATTATGTTTACGTGAGCAAGTTAGAATTTTTGTAGGATTTCATGAACTGCGTTACGATTTTTCTCAATTTTTCGGGTAATTAAGTCTTTTTAGTTTTTGGCTCGAAATTCGTGGTGGATCAGAGCTGTTGCCAAAGCAAGATAGCCATCTTGTAGAGCTTGCTTTGCTTTATCAAATGGTGTTTTGCAACCTACTTAGAAATGAGAAGTGTATGACTTATTGCTGTTGGAATTGAAAACCTGCATTAATTTCCGGACAACCTAATAGTTCACGTGCTTATATCCGCGCGTCTCAGATTGCTGGTTTTGGATATCCTCCCATCTTCTCTGCATAATGCTTTGAATCGTCTTCCTCTTATTAGATTGCGAGCTGCCAACTAGAAACATGCAGCATTTTGGACTTGATTTATCATTACTCTGCTGTTTTATATTTCATATTGCCTTTTCGAACACGTTTCTCTCATGAACTGATTCACGGTGTGTTGAACTGACGAAAGACTGTGATGGAAATCGATGACAGTGTTTACGTTTACTCAAGACATTCCATATGACGGTATAGTGCATGCTGCACTCATTTTGGCGTCTACCTTTCTTTCATAGAAACAGGCAGATAGACTGCTTTCGTTATACTTTTTCCCTTTTTCTTCAAACTTTTTCTTTCCTTATACATTTCTCAATTTTACGTGGCTGCTTTTTGAATGACTTTTACGTTTTGTTTAGGTTGTGGATTTTGATGGTGAACTCCATCTCATCCTTGTTGCAAAACGGGATATTGATGAAGCCGAGGAGCTTCTCTATGATTACGGTGACCGAACACCGGAGACTGTCGCTCGCAATCCATGGCTGGTGAATTCTTAGTTTATTTCGTTAAATTATTGACCGTGACGATCTTCCACATGTTAATATAATTAAGTTTGATGCTTCTTGACCGCAATACTGATATCACTCTTATGGCTGTATTGTTTATTGTTTTGCTAGGTGTCTTGTTATACTAGAAGGGTTTTTATGTATTGATAAGGAGCAAATTCCGTCTTTCGCTCAGTTGATCAACTTAGCTACTTTGCGTGAGCCTGAGCCGCTCAAATCATGATCATCTAGGATTAACAATAAGGTAACCTTACAGTACTTGTTGCACAAACGTGTATCTCAAAATATCGTATAGAAACCTTTCCTTTCCTTTTTGTTATTACAAAGTGACTGGTTGATTGTTTTTCACTGTGTGTTTCAGCCTCTTTCATTTTGAAAGGCATGCAAGCATATGCTTTCTTCTCTGTGGACCTACGTAGATCTCCTATCGCCACTTTAATCATGTGTACTTTTTCTACTTTCAAGTTTCAGTCTTTGTTTTATGCATTATTGTTCGCTTGTCAAATTGTGTATCAATACTGGATCTTTAGAAATATTTCTCAGTGAGTCGGCTCAGCTGTACATTTGTATATTGCTTATTATGCTTCATTTCTGGATAAACTGTGTGTGTTAGAGTTGTTCGGCACAAATGATCGTCTCAACGCTCTCAAGCGGAATGTATCTGTGAATAAAGTGAAGTAAAACTGCATGACAGTACAGTTCAGGCGACCAAATGCGCCAAATTTTACATGTAATCGTCGTCGGGTTTCATCACAAGAAAGGATGTCAGGTATGTGGTAAGAGTGTGGTCTAATAACTTCAGTTCTCTTCTCGGTGGACGGCGAGATAGCGAGTAGATAGCTTGGAGTGAGGGTTGTTTCTACGTTACGCACACGCCACTGTTGGTCCATTTGATCCGCTTGTTCCACTTCGCTATGGTCATATCACTGATGACCAATAACGAAGCTGATCAGGAGGTGTTTGCTTCACTTATTGATCAGTTCATTGATTCGATTAACAAAAGTGGAACAAGTGGATCGAGTATGACGTGTTCCTTAGCTGCCTATAAACTTTTTCCTGGTTCTGCATCGCGGCTACAGCTCCAGTAGGGATGATACTTCCTGTTTTTGTTGCTTGTTGTCTGGGGTTAGTAAATAAAACATTCAAACTTTGCTCTTTACATTGTGCAAATCCAGCTCAGGTCTTCATATGCTGAAAAAAAGTTTCAGTGAGTAAGTTCACTAGTCAAATTTTAAATCGGCGTAGTGTTATCTGTGGCTACTCTTTTTTGTAGCTCTGCAGCTGTTTTGCTTTGACTTTTGTTATCGAGAGTTGTTCACAAAGTGCATTTTCTTTAAGACAACACTAATCGCTCATGACATGTTGCGTCACTTCCTTCCATTTTGTTCGCGCTATCATCCACACGCTTAATGGAAGCAGTATCGCTGATAATTTTTGAGTGTTGCATGAATAAATGCACTGCTCAGACAGTCGAAGGAATGTCTCTGGAGGAACCCCGGAGCAGAGATTTGCGAGCCCCAGGAAGGGGTCCCATTCGCCTTCTTGTGACGTCATCGTGACGTCACAAAAAGGTGAATGGGACCCCTCCCCGGGGCTCGCCTTCGGAGGTGCCCGGAGCACCAAAACGCGTGAAATGGGAGGGCTCCGGAGCACGAAGTGGCGGACCCCCGCTGGGCAGAGCCCGGGATCCTCCCATTTTCGCTCCAGAGGTATCCTTTTGACTGTCTGAGTGATTGGTGTTGACTGGTCTCGTAGCTTTTCTTTTTCCCACGCTTACACCGTTTGTTATGTACATAACAAAAATACAAACACCTGAGTCACGATGCTCATAATATGGCATGCCGAAAGCAAAGTCGGATTATCTAGGCTTAGGGGAAAGACATAAATTATTCACGCGTGAACCTAATTCTGGTGTTGCAAATACCGGTGATCACATGTTGTGGGGCACCAAAGTTCTTTGTACGACACAGTTTTTAAACATAAATGACAGCAGTTTTTCTGGCTATTTGCAAACAGCTGTAGTCTGAAAATACATGAGATGAACCAGTAACAGAGATGGTGCTTGGTTAAAATAACTTGATTCCTTTTTCTCTTATATCTTAAAACTCCATGAAAAAATATGATTGAAAAGAGATGAGAACTAATGTTGGTCTTGTGCAAGAGCCGATTCTGTGAAGTTGCACGTTTTTTGTCAATCATTCTTTTGTTGAATGAACAGCTGGCGTTTCCGGCATGTTAGCTCCGTCAGTATTTTGACTCTCCTCTGCAAAACACGACGACTTTCTGTCAATTTTATGTCAAATAACATTGTGTTGAAGGTAGAATACTCGTACCCGAAGCTAGACGGTAACGGTGAAGGAGGTTTACCTGATGAATGGACACATTTGCCATCATTAGCATTGCCAGATGGGGCACACAACAACGATAGTGGTATGTTTATTCGATTTATATTGATTTGATTGCAGCTTTTCACACGATATCTATTCAGATACCATCTTCTTCATTCTACCGTCCAGAGAGCGTTCAGGTGAAGCCATCTTTGGAATCTCATGTTATCGACAGATTGCTGCCGATGTGAGTCACAGTATTTGGTCGTACTTTGACTTTGTTTTCTCCTTTTTGATGGGAATTCAATACTGTTTTTTCCACTTTTCATCCGTTTTTTTTTTGAACTTTTCGTTGGAATCAGTAGTCTTTTAGTCTACTACTCTTCTCTTTTTGAGGAACTAGTAGCAAAAACGAGTGATGTAACGCGTAGCACAGTACAAAAGAGTGTTTGTGTGCTGTCACGAGCACCTTTGTTTGGGGCTCTGAGAGCCAAGCTTGAGGTCATTACCCGAGCATATTTCGCAGAGAGAGACTTCGCCAAGGTATGTTACATACTTAGGTTCTATTAACTTTCTGTGATATAATGGAGTTACTTCAGGTTGAAGTGCTCTCACAAATGTACACGAATCTATGCGAGATGTTCGACAGCGATGTCATCGATGAACAGGCAGCAAGCATAGGTTGAAGCTGAACTGTCATTAGATAAGGCTGATTAAAATTTTGTTCCTTAGATATCTCCGTCCAAGAGCTATTTGTTTGCTTTCGGCATCATGCCCTTCTGCTTTTCAAGCTTCTTTTGCTAGAGAAGAAGGTACGAATGAGAAATCTATTCTGATTGCAGACGTCTACTTTCATGCTTCCAGGTTGTTTTCAACATATCCCCTGCACAGCTTCTTGGATCCACAATGGTTGCTCTCGTATCGCTGTATCCAAGTTGGTTTTATCTTTTTTCTTTCAACTTCCGAGGTTGAAATTGAAAGAAACAAACGGCTCCTCTCTTACTCCTTTGCATCACCGTGCTTTTTTAGCTCATGTTCTCAAATGACATGCATCTGTACGCCATTATCTAAGATTTCTATAGTAAGCTGAGCAAAAAAATTATTTAAATCTATCGCTTGCAGAGGTGCTTGAAGAGGGATTGCGATACTGCGCTGCTCCGATGGCGCTTTCGGAGGAATCCAGTTCCCAGTCCAATCATCAACCTGAAATTTCCAACGGTAAAGATTTGCAGCATTTATTATGAGATAATTTGCACACAATCTTTTTCCAGACTTTTTTCCACTTTGATGACTGTATTTTCATCAGTTTGTAAAAAAAACATATTTTTGTCCAACACAGCAGCAACATTCAGGTAATACTACACCGGCGATAGAAGAACCTAAGGAACCTAAAGATGACGAAGAGGTGGAGATTCCACCATCTACTGCAGTACTAGAAAATGAACCACCTATGACCAAAGATAGTTTTGGCTTTCCACTAAGCATATTCACAAAGGTAAACATACTCTTCAGATTTTCCAACGATACGGAGTCTGTTCAGGGCTACCTCTTTCATCCATATCTTTCGATATCATATCTGGACATGATTAGATCAAATGCAGTGCGGGCATATGCTATTGGTGCTACTAATGCGCTCTTCGTTACCAAGAAAGATCTGTTAGACGCGATAGTCACGGTATACAACACAATTTCTTAGGTTTTTTGCTCTCACTTTTTTTGTCTTCATTTTGCTTTGATTTTCCATAATACCTTGCCGTGTAAAATCTAGCATTAAACGCTCACAGGTTGACGATCAAGGTTGCGGTCAAGTCAACTTATTAGATCCGAATCTTAGAAGAGAACTCAGTCTTACCTCTGCCGATCTTCGATTTGGAGACTATCTTCTGAAAAATGTTGAAGACAATCGAAAGTCTACTGCTTGTGGGTTTTATGCTGCTCACTCACATAGTCCATATTTTTGGAGTTTTCTATTTCTACGTCCTGCGCTTTTCAGTATTTGAGGGGAGCGACGAATGGTTACGGTTGCAAATGCGGGAATATTTATTGTCAATGGGTGCTAGCGCTCGATCTGATTTAGTAGTGGCAGTGAATGACTATGGCACTGCTTTTGTCCATAGTTGGAGGAATACAAGGTGAACAAATTTTCAACATTCTTTTGAAATCGGTTTTTTTCTTTTAGAAATTATCGTATCTGGATGGCAGGACCACATGAAGACCTTGCAGGAGTAGTGCCTGGGTAAGGCCATGCTTATCAGGAAAATTTTCTAGTTATAGTTTGCAATTTCATTTCTTCTTTTATGTTTCAGACATGCCTTTGCCGGGCAACTTGGTGTATATGATGTTTTATTACGAGTCGAACACTCTGTTGGTGGATCTGAAGGTGCTCGTAGGGCACTAAGCGCCATCACATCTACGGGGAAAAATATCGGTAAGTCATTGAACGATTCACTACAATTCACCAAAACTTTATGTACAGTGTTACCAGCACTGCGACAGCGCTGTTTCAGCACTGACCATGATTTTCTACATAGTTTTTTTTTTATTCTAGCGATCGGGAACTTGCACGTTGTTGTCCGGTTTTTCTGACAACCTGTTGTTATAACACAGTTTCTCTACATAGCGCCGAGTTACAATTACCTTCGAAACCCATTGTTATGAATGTTAAAACTCGGTATTATGTATGACAGAAAGGGATGTGCTAGAACAAGAAGTTGTTACAAAACCACCAAAAATAAATTATCAGCAATGATCCCAGTGACCTTAGTGTAACCTTTTACCTCTGTTTTCTCCTCTAACCGAACCTCTGTAGGGGAGACGGGAAACAAAGTGCGACAAAGTCTATCTAGTTGGTTGAAAGGCAGCCCTACAAACGCAGAAGAAGCAACGGAAGATATCGCCGATGATTCCAGAGTAAGTATTACCTTTGTATTCATCTGACCTCAATTCATCCGCTGATACCGTTGGTTAATAAGGATCATAAGTACGATAGTGAGCAAAGTCTGACACCCCTCTCGCTTTGGCGTGGACTATTCCCCTTCCCTCTCCTCCGTCACTGGGACGGACTAGCGACCTGCTTGAATGGTCAATGTGGAGCGCAAAAGTGTAGTTTGTTCAAATAAGGATTTTCTGTTGTTGACGCTGTGAGAGGAAGAATAGTGATATAAAGTTCTCTGTTAACCACGTGCTTCCTTTTCCGTAAGCGCAGTGAGTTTCGCGCCACGTTCGCGCGCGTATGGCTCGGGCATTCAAATTTGCCTTATTGATTGGCGGTCCGCGCGCAGGGCCCTTGCGTTGCGCATGCGTAGGTCCCATGCGAAAGGGAGTACGTAATTGACATCGACTGTACCAAAGTTCTGCTAGCTGCTTAACAAATATAAAGGGTAAGTCATCAAGTAATGGGTGAGTAGAAAAGGTTTGCAATGCAGTGAAAAAACAAATTGTAATAGGTACAGCTCTATAATTAGTATAACATAAGCTAAACACAGCAGATACTCTGCAGCCTAGGTAAATTATACGTAAATCTTTTCTATGAGGTAATGAGGTTTTTTTGGAGAGTTGGGGGGGGGAGGGGGAGGGGGGAGGAGAGGGCTATGGTTTAGCATCTGTACACTCCATCGGCCCGTAGTAACCTCGAACCTCACGATTTCGTATATCATTCCTTAGCCGTTGAAGCGGAAATTTGAAATTCAGCTTTGTATTGCTTTTCCTTCTTTCATACAAGATTTTTTTGAAAAGAGCCAACCTCGTATGTAGTATTTGAACAATAACCGAATGAAAATGTGTTACTTCCGTTGACACGTGGCAAGGATACAGTCCTTGTGAAACCGATGAAATATTATTTTCAGACTAAAGCGCATATTTCATGAGAACCTTTTGAAAAAAATGGATCTGGGTAACGGAAAATTATCTTTGTTTGTTTACGGCGGATAAAGTCAATTTTCTTAGCTCGCTAACACCCCAGACTTATGGTGTTTATATGGTAGAAGATGATGAGATAAATTATTGAAAACACAAATCTCTCCTCTCACCCTCCTCTCCCGGCCGACGTCTGCAATTTTTAAGGCCCTTTCACTTTTTGAAGAAAAAAAGCCAAGTGACTTTGGAGGGTACCATCTCATACTATCGCACCTATGACCTTGCCACAAATATGATAGGTAATACCATTGTGACAGTTTCAATATTTTTATGAAAGCTTACTTGTATGATCTTGAAGTTGTCTTTAACAAAAGAGATTTCTTTCATTAGATTTATTTTGTCCTACTCATTAAAGCTGCTTCAGGCAAAAAATTTCTCGTCATGGTTTCGCGGGTCTCCAAAAGTCGATGAACCTAATTCTTCTAGTCATTCTTGAATGTAGAATTGTATCTATCATTTTATATTGTCAGTTTGTCATTCTATTTATCACTCATTCCTATCCCAGCATTTTGATATACAAAGAGAATTTGTCCATATATGCGATCTCTGACTATTACTTGATGGTGATGATACTTGTTACAGCCTTTCTACCTTTTTTCATTCTATGTGATTTTCGCTGCTTCAAATTTCTAATAAGACTATTTATCGAGATTGCGCAGTTGCTACCCACAAAGGATAAACCGAATCGAGGAATTAATGTTTTATAATTTATGAAGCTTGCCATGATACATATATACAGAATCGCATATTCGTTTGACAAAATTACAAAATGCAGATGATATCTCTCAGTTTAAAACGGTGTTAGTACCAGCCAATTTTTCGATGTTGAAATAGAGATAAATTACAAATAGATAGCCGAAAGGCCGGTTTACGAGTATAGACTCAAGGTTAGTATGTAAAACATACTCGCAATAATGCTATCACACAGGTTGCGTTCTGTACAAGCGAAAAAATGTTAATAAGGCAACATCTAAGGAAAGAAAAATAACTTATATCAAGCCTAGAGAATCACGTTACATTCCTGAGTACTTTGGGCCTTCGCCACCTTCGGGTGTTACCCAATTAATATTCTGGGTTGGATCCTTGATGTCACAAGTTTTACAGTGAATGCAGTTTTGAGCATTGATTTGGAGTCGCATCTCAGATGAGTTCTCATCCCGAGGCACATATTCGTAAACACCTAAGACAAAAACGTGAATCTGTTACGAGCAAATGCTGCAAAAATCTGAGAAAAAGTAAAACTTACCTGCTGGGCAGTATCGTTGTTCAAGACCATCGTACAAGGGTAAGTTGATTTTCTCTGGTACACTATCGTCTTTCAGAGTTAGATGAGAAGGTTGATTTTCTTCATGATTAGTACCAGTAAGAGATACGGATGTAAGTAGATCGAAGGTCAGTTTACCATCTGGTTTAGGATATTCGATTGGCTAAAAAAGTGTAACTCTAGCACATAATAAGCAAAAATTGTGAGCCAACATGTTTCCGAAAATAACCATTACCTTGCACTCCTCCTTCTTCATAGTCTTCTCGTTATCAGTTTTGCCATGCTTAAGAGTCCATGGTTCCTTTCCTCTACCAATAATGTAGAACAATCCCGAATAGGAGAGGCCACCCAGCCACCCTAATGATATAACTCAAGTTTGCTGCACAGAAACTTAATATCTACCCGATTTACCCATGCGAGTATTGAAAGATGGACGAATGTTTCTGGTTGCTTTCAGCTCCTTGAAGACAGAGCTTTCCTCCATAGCATCTTGATATGAAGTAGGTGTCACAGCTGTAAATAACTTCATCAAAATCACTCAAACCCAGGTCTGTGAATCAAAGAAACACTGACATTGGGTATCCTCTTTCAAAAGCGGGAATATGGACTCCGCAGCAACTATTCCGCTTTTCATTCCGGTATGTGTACCCTTCAGCTTTGCTACATTCAGGAGACCACCAGCACACCCAACGATACATCCACCTGAAAATGATAAATTACGGAAATACTCGGAAGGCGAAAGCTGGATGGGATACCACAACCCAGACGAACGGGGACTGGCTGATTGGCATCCCATCTTTCAAAGAATGAAGTGTAACACTTTTAAACTTCATTAAACTCAGTGTTTCAACAAAGTTGAAAAAAAAGAGCAAAACTGAAAATCCATACCCTTGCAAAGTCAACTTTTGATAAAATCTTGCAGAAATGGATAGAATAGTCAAAACCCACCTGGGAATGCCAATTTAGGGACGGTTTGATAGCCTCCTTCGTTCAGTGCTCTGGCACCATATCCTATCCTCTTGCCACCTTCGAGTTGCGCGGCAATTGATGGATGAGTCTTCCACTTTTGGAATTCCTGGAAACGCACAACAATCTCATACAAAGAACATTCAAATATGAGTAGCGCACTGACTTACCTTGAAAGGGTTAATGTTGGTGTTCTTGTAATCTAAAGCCACAACAAAACCGACTGCTGCGAGAGGAAGTCCCTCATCCGTTATGTGGTAAATGAACGAGCCACCATACTGATCCATAGCCTGAACGAATCATGATTAGGATTACGAAAACGACACTTGTGCAAAAACTGACCAATGGCCATCCTAGGGTGTGTTCCACATAGCCTGATCTGTGCTTTGAGGGGTCCAGTTGCCACAGTTCTTTCAAACCGATACCATAAGACATGGGATGAGTGGTCAGATCAAACTTTTTGAGAATCTGAAATCGGAATGTTTGAGAGGAAAACAAAGACTTCCTCAAAAAAAAAACGTAGGGGACTGATCATCAACCAAACATAGGCAAAAACTGCGAAAACCCCTTTGGCAATTTTCGTAGTAGTGAGCCCATAATCTGCCCAGTTCAGCTTCTAAAAGGTGGTCCTTCTTTAACAAGTTCATGTTTTCCATCTCCTACTCCATCCAAAAACCGGAGGCAAAAAAAAAATTGAGCGAGTGCATGAAACAATGCCTCGTAACTATTTATTTATGGAATGTGTATAACGAAGTGGTAATTATGGTTTGACTAGCATCAGTGAATGGGTTCAGAAAAGACAGAAAGATAGGTGCATTCTCAGTAAGTTTGATTGGTCAATACCTTGACCTCTATCGTCAAGTGAGAGTGTGCTCTCAAAAATGGTAAGAGAAAAATATCATTTAAAGAGAAAACTAAATAATAGATCTCACTTATAAATTACCTGCTTAGTGAGATGTCCTCGGCAGCCCTCTGCGAAAATCGTACATTTTCCATGCAACTCCATTCCTCTAGCAAAGGAGTCCTGGAAAACTTTTCTTCTACGAAATTCATGAAAAAAAATCTCGGCAGAATCCGCGTTCGATAAGAATTACAAAAAAGCTATCTTTGAGCAAAAGAACAGCCTCACACTACCGGAAAAAGGAAAACCCACCTTTGGTGAACCATCCTTTGCTATTCCAACATCATTCGTTGCGATTCCTTTCACACTTCCATCTTCATTATATAAAACCTGCGAAATAAAAGCTAATGGCGAAGGACCAAAAACAAAAATAAGCCAAACCTCAGAAGCAGAAACTCCAGGCCAAATTTCTACTCCAGCTGCTTCAGCTTGCTCTCCCAACCACCGTACTACATGACCGAGTCGTACGATATAATTACCTATGTCGAATGATTGAGGACAACATCATTGGGAACATTATAGTATCAGATGCAAAGAAAAAGGAAAATTACCGTGATTGTAAAGGGGCATTCCAGGGAACACAGGAACCGGAATTCGTCTCCTTTCGGTCAGAAGTGCAACTGATTCAGACTGAAATAATGATGCTCAAATATATCCAATGAGGATGACATAGGGCAGACTTGAAAAATGAAGTCGCTATAAGGTGGAGCTATTGCGGAGGCAGACTGTAATAAAACTGAGCTCTAGTCGAAGTATGGCGGCTAAATTGAACGATGGAAATCAAGAAAAGTGCGTTTAGGCTTTTGTTCGCATTTTTTTAACCTCTGCAACTATCATTCCTAACTTTGCGCTAGCGACGCGACGCATGTGTGTGCGGCAGGTGCGGGTGCGGGATCTGCACTGGAATTAAAAGGCACCATGAACGATTCTGAATGCATAACACTTATAGAAAAATTTTGTTGTCAACTGATGGAGACAAATGAGCAGAAAACTTGGCATACCGTGACTTTCTCGTGTATTGGTGCTCCTAACTCTTTCCAGTTCGGGAACAGCTCTTCTAATGGTTTTGTTTCAATGACAGCTCCAGAGAGTGTATGCGCACCAACTTCAGGAGCTTTCTCCACAACGCAAACGCGGATTTCTGAAAGATAAGCTTGAGACTCCATGAAAGATTATTTCAACTTCAAAACTGCTTTTCAGGTAACACACCTTTTCCATTCTCCTCTGCAAGTTGCTTCAATCGAATGGCTGCGGACATTCCAGCAGGTCCACCACCCACGATAACCACATCGTATTGGTCGCTTTCCCTCGTCATGTCGATCTCCTTCCATCGTGGATCTTTCGATCTGTCCTGAATCCAAGGATTGCGAGGTTATCGACTATACTTTTTTGAGAAAGGTCAGCGAAATTGGTAATATGGTTTGTTTTTGTTCTTAGACAAAAATGTGCAAGAAAGATGCAAGTTTGGCGTTGTGAAACTCTTTGAACTTTCCAACTGTTCAGAAAGTCCCAGGCTTATAAGTAAAACAACACACGAATACAATCGCCGATCTCACCATATTTGGAATAATATGCTTACAACAGAAAACCTGATAGCGAACAAGATCCCAATAAGTTTACAGCTGCTTGCTGCAATTTTTCCGCTTGTGTTGCGAAAGTGTGCCGTAGTTTATCGGAGGCAAAACTGATATTAAAGGACTCGCTCACCTATTGAGAGCTGAGTGTGTAAAAAAACACGATGAGGAAGGAAGCACAGATGCACTAGCAATATAAGCTGCGCAAATCCCAGTGTTCACACTGTGCATTGCACATCGACGCACTAGCGGTTTATATCGTCGGGTCCCCACACGCTACCACCTAATGGAGTGAGGGGGCGGAACGGTGAAAAGATTATCCCGTGTTTGGATGTGTTTCTTCAATTTTTTCTCCAATAAATTTACTCAATATATGCGTATGCTTCCGTTCTCACAATCAACGAATATGCCAAAAAAAGGGCTGCATAATCCATTTATTTGTGCAACAAAGACTGCCTATAGTAGCCACCATCCAACTCTTTGGCCACAGCATATATCAAAACTGCTCTCTTTGCATAAATCCAAAAACTTAACCGCTCCTTACCCGCGCGCGCAGTTCAGCGAACAGTGGAACCATAGCCTGGTTGGATCCGGGGGGAAAATTGAGTGCAGTTGCAGCCTTACGCAGCCTTTGCGTCAAAAAATAATAAGGCAAGCTTTGCAGTATAGGAAAATAATTCTAAAGGTTTCATAAAGAGTCTCAAACTTTTTGTTTATTTGTTTTTAGAAAAAGCCCGCCTTTTCGACAGTGAGTCTCTTTGAAAAAAAAGGTTTCTATATTTTCGGTTTCTTTAAAGCCGTGTTGTTCATGATGAAAAATGGCCGACTAGACGACTTCATAATCAATTTGCTGTGAATATTGAATGATTGATTACTGAGCCATTGTAGTTGCTGCTATAGAAGATTCTCCTTTTTCAAAATGTGCAAGACTAATGCAATGGGGAGAGAGATTTGCATCAGAGAAGAAAATAAAATCGAACGGGTTCTAGTAAAAATCAATGCATGCAATGCTAACCTTGATGGTGTAATGTGTGGTTGTCCATCTGCCATTGACAACGTTTTTCATGGGAACCGACCATCGTATCAATTGTGGAACAGAAATCCGCATCTGCAGAATAGTATATGACGTTTAATCGAATATTTTCCAAAAAGAGAAAACAACGCCAAGGAAGAGGAAATCAAGTGCTAGAATTGGGTTCACTATCTCTCGCAATGATCACTGAACGCCGCAACCTCTTGCGTATCGTGTAAACAACACTATCGGCGTAAATAGATTTCCGAGCAGAAAACAAATTTTGGTAGAAGGTCCGGATTTGCTGAGGATTATATATTATAAATTATTCAAAAAACAGGCGTTAAAGTTTAGTTACTTTGAACGACTGGAGTAGCAGATGATTGCTTACGTTTCACAGTCCAAAGTACGCGATGGGCGACCCACTATGAGGAAACCGGGTTCATAGTATGAAAAATTTCAAATCATAGTACTCTAGTACTTTTTGATAGTGGAAGCGCGAGGGTAAAGTCCAGAGATATGATGACGATCTTCTTTCTTTCTAATGGTTCGGATAAAGTTTTGTAGTTCTGGGAAGCGGAGATGATTTTTGACCTACTCATAGCGCTCAATTTTTCAAGAGGGCATATCTATGAGGAATTATTTGGCCATTTGATCTACTCGGGTAATTTTGAGATACGAACCACTTATCTCCCCTTGCGCTATTCTAAACACCTCCCCTAGTAACAAAAATTCAGCTTTGTCTTTTCCTAGCTCTTTGTTAGAGGGCGGTCGGGCAGGAGGCAGCAAAGGCTCGCCGCTTCTGCTTATGGAAGTGCCTAAGGAACTCCAGACTTCCTCGCGGCTCTAATTACTTCTTCGCACTTCTAGTTACTTGATATGACCTACGCCAAATTGACCGCTGATTTCTTAAAGCGTCAAGTTTTGAGATGGCTTTTATGTTTTGAATTCATAGCAAATAAGATAACAAATTCAAAAATTACTCATAGATAGCCATTCAACGTCCAATGATTTAAAAGTATGAATTGGTCTACTCAATCTTCAAACCAGAATCTCAAACATGTCAATCTTTCTCAGTTATTCCGATCGAAGACAAGGACTTTGAAGACTGATTGCACTCGTCTATTCTGCGACAGAATACTTCCTTCTGTTACGAATTTTGGAGCAAATGCCCTGAACCCAATATTTGAATAGGCCGAAAACAATTATAGCTGAGATTGAAAGAAATTGAGATTCTCAAATTGATCCAGGATGGGATCCTCTTCAAAAAGATTCTCGTTCAATCCTCTAGCTTGTAAAGTAATCAGAGGTGCGAAAAGTGATTAGAGGCGCGAGGAATCTGAAGCTCCCCAGGCACTTCCAGAAGCAAATGCGGTAGGACTTTGCTGCCTCCTGCATGACGTCCTTGTTAGAGAAAGTCCAGCTTAGAGTTTCTTTTCCTAGCTCTTTATTAGAGGAAGTTCAGCTTAAGTTGTCATTTAAAGTTTCATTGCTGATTTGAGTAATTTACCGTTATCTAAAAAGGAATTATGAACATCATTGGATCTGATGAAGGGCAAACGTAGATTTCATGAAAACATATTCAGCCTATACTTGCGCGATTGAACTGGCCAAAGTTTGAAGACTATCGTGTTTTCGTTTTTTATATTTTATCAAATAAGCATACAAGGGTTGCAAACATACGAGATTTGAAATTTTTTGAATGAAATTGAGTGATCTAGAAATAGAAGATTTTAGGGTGCATTGCGGCGAAAGAGATTGGAAAATGGCTCCGTGGTGTGACCTCGTAGTCCTAGATGACCTGCCTAACTAAACCACCGAGGTCACATAGCCTCCAGCATTTTTAGATTTGGATTGTAAAGTAGAGGTCTCAAAGATTTACATGTTACAGAAGTTTCTAATTAAAACTAAACTCTAAGAGAAATTTGGTAAACTTGGTTGGCGTGAGAAAAGATGCTTTATCTTATTTTCCAAAGATGCTAGTGTGTTACTTTTGTATGAAAATTGTCCAAGAATCTGATTCCGCCACTGAGCCTAAATATAAACGCCTAGAAATTTCCTATAATAAGACATGGTGAGTTTACCGGTCTGAAAATGCCAAACTTTTCTGAAAAATACCACATATGCGTTTTCAAAGTTAGTATAAAAAATTCTTGATTATTGTTTTCACACTCTGTTTGATTGGTACTCACCCTCCACCAACAATTTGGACATCATCAGCAAAAAATTCCCTCATTTCATTATCTTTACACGATAGAAGACTTTAGAGATAATGTTAGTTCTGCATCGGTAAACGTATTTCGTGTAGAGTATTCTATAAAAAAGTGAACATTTGTATCAAATATCAAAGGCTCTAACCTTTAGTCCATTAGTGAAGCAGTTTTTGAAAAATAGTTAAAGTGCTGGACTTGGGCAACGATTCTAAGTTTCCAGTCTCTCATTTTCCTTGAGTTTCAGGAAATGAAGGTAAAAATCCTGACCTGGGATTACGATGTAAAATATGGTAGTACACCAGAAAATGTAATTTAAAGTGGAACTTGACATCTATAGTGATACAGCTCCAAAATCTGCGTTTTATACGCGTCGAACAGCTTAAATAATGCGAAATTTTCTCTTTTTCAACCACCTTAATATAACTCACTCAATTTTTGCACTCCTCCGAGATCAACCTTTACTCTTTTATTATTTTTACAATTGTAACAAGTTTTGATAGTGCTTCGAAAAGTGACTGACGGCTCCCTCAGCGCCATTCTTATCAGGAGAGAAACTCGTTTCGTTGTTACGTTATCAGTTGCTTCTAGTCTAATGGATAGTTTCTATCAAATTATCAATATCTGATATTTTTCTTTGAGAAAATTCCTCAGTGGCTTACTTTGTCGATCATCTTCTGAGCTGGACTCTCTACACCTTTTTTTTGTGGTAAAAATAAGATCGCTCTCAAGAATGAGTGCCCACGTGCCTGTGATAGTGTGATGTTTTCATATGATTTTTGCACTTTATCAGCCAGACATCAAAATTAGAGGAATTTCATAAGCAAACAAACTTCTTTACCGATTGGCGTAGCACTATACTGCAATATAAAAAAGCTCTTGCAGTATAATGTACTTTACATAACTGAAAAGATTCCCATGAGCAATAGCCTAAAACAAAGTTTTCAGTGGAGGGGGGGGGGAGGGTTCTATGGTGAACTCGGTTGTGATGCTTGGAACTTTCCGCTTACTATGCGGATGAAAAGTGACTTTCTAATGGTCAAAGGCAAAACAGGATTCTTTTTATCATAGGAAACTTTTTGAAGTCTGCGAATTTTGAAATTTTATACCAGCGCTATCTCTAAAGTCAGTAGATCTGTGAGATTCAATTTTCAGTGTCTTCTGAAAAGGAGGAATGATCTGAATTTTATCTTTCTGGAATCTTTCTGAAATCCATAGTCACCGTGTATATCCTTCCTATCCTAAAAGCTTCTTGGTAGAAGTTTTTTCAGGTCTTCGGAACTTTTTGTATTTATTCCTACTTTATCTTCTTCAGGCTAAAATTCTCATTATCCTCAAGTTTGCCTCTTCTCTTTGCTCGGAATCAAAATTGGCTTTTCAAAATGAGAGACAAGATTAAGTTAGCATGTTTTTGAGATCGTTCCAAGAGTTATCTGTGCACTGTAAAAGAAATAGATATAGCAGCACATTCAGTACTTCACCGTTGTCAATTTTCAATGCTTTAAGATGGGGTAAGAGCTTTCTCGGACAGATATTTACAAGTGTCTGGAAAAATTTCGCTTTTTTGGTAACCTTGTTCGCCTTTCCAATCAGTTTAGAAGATTCTTGATCGATTTTAATGCACCGTAATAGGGTAATAAGCTTCTTGGATATGTATCACTGATCTCTAACATATGCTCCTATTTTCGATCTAGCCTTGTTCGCCTTTCCACATAGTTTAGAAGAACTAGTATTGTACTTCTTGTCATGAGTTGGAATAGAAGAGTGTAGGGGGACATTACACTGTCATTAGGCTCCTGTCTGAATGGACTTCTACCATATTTGTTGATCCGTGAAGATGTACGATTTGTGCGAGATGTTCGGAAGGCGGAGCTTGTTGATAGTGTGACGCCCTAAGGTATAAACGAACTTTGTATTGCTAGATTATCTTTCAGGCCTTCTTTCCTCTTTGAAGTTACTTTTTTGTAGCATTTCTTTGATTTCGCTTCAAATTACATCCGAATATTGTAGTTTCTTTTACGGTGCTGTGGTTTTCAAAAAAGTTCCTAGTAGTGCTGTGCTTCGAGCTTCGGAGATGCGGGCTTTTTCTAGTTAAGTTTGAAAATGGTTTGATGGTGGGATTTTTGGGCCAATCCGCCAATTGCTCATGATGATCGGTGCTTTGGGCCAATGAGCCAACACAGTAGGCGGATAGAAACTTACTAAAACCGCCTCTCTTTTTTGTATGATAGATATTTCAAAGTGTCAGCTGGTTTTTCTATTACATAAAGCTCAAATACAAGGTAATTATTCACGTTGCAAAACAATGAGAAACATTTTTTGAACCATGAATTTTGCAATTTTACGGTATCAAGCAGAACCCTATAAAATCAGACTCAATGAGCTAGAGTGAATTCATCCTTATTGGAAACAATGCCTATATCTAATCCTTTTAGTTTGTGGGGTTTCAAAATTCCTTTGTGATGATCAGTAATGCAGCTTCGTAACCAAATCATACAATTGTCTGAGACTTGTAATTTTACTGATAATGTTTTGTAATTTTACTGATAATGTTTTTTGCGAACTCTTATGAACGCACGAAGCTCAAGTATCGGTAGGCAATAACCATGCACAAATGTTTTTTTGTAAGCTTTGCATTCTGTTTACTCGATAAGGTCGCTAGCTTTTTGATTGGGCACGTAAAAGCAGAAAAATTGTGTTCCTCATGGGAATTCTTTTCCTTATGTGGTTATGGGCTATAACTGGTCTTATACATTTAAGGTTACGTGAAAGAGATCACCTAAACAAGTTAGGAAGAAATGAGGAAATCGATGTTTACCACTTAAAATAGTAAGTTAAAACGCATAAGGTTGTATATTTTTTGGGATTGGACAGGATAAGGGAGAATCAAGAAATCGTTCATTTCATATTATTAATTTTCAATTCTATGGCATCATTTTTTGGCATTATTATCTTTCAAGCAAAAATGCGAGCTAGTGTTGAGATACAGCTTTTGAGCTGAAACAAGTTAAAGGTATTAGATACCTTGATGGACTCGTTTATCTATTAGGTGTCTCAAAAGTAAACTCCTTTTTTGAACAAATCAAGTTGTTCTTGTTTTCCTGGAGACTCAGAGAACCATTAGAGCAAAGCAGGCTCCGCAAAATGATCACCAAAGGTCCGCTTCAGCTAGTCTAGGTAAAAGTTAGAGCCAAAAATCAAAAATTTTTATGTACTTAAAAAATCGGATCTCCTCCAACTTGTTCTCGCAAAAATACGACTTCCAGGTGATGAAATTTTTTCCGGTTCTGGTTCCAAACTTTATCTGGATTACGATTTAGGTGGATCTTTGGTGGTCTTTTTGTAGAGCTTGCTTTGTTCTATCGCAAAATACCCTAAGTCTGCTAGGAAAACAAATACAGCTTGATATATTTGGAAAAAGATTTACTTTTGGGACAACCTTAATTTATAACTCTTTGCCTCCGCATCTTTGATTTGGAAAGTTTTGTAAGATCGAGTCAAAGCTTTACCAAACATGAAAAGAAAACGGTGGGAAAGAGAAGAAAAAGAAGTTTCATTTTGATTCCAACGTCTAATAAACTTTCTCTGTTCCCTTACTTTTCCTGCAAAGCTACCTTTCTTGCAACCAAGTTTGTACAAATCTCATGCTGGAGCCTTGATCTCATACTTGTCCTTCTTAAATGACCTCGTTGATCGAAACATTCCACAAACTATGCTTTCACTTTTAGATCATGCAGAGGATCGTACCAGCCGTCTGTCGACAACCACTGCAACCCGTCAAGGTATGCGTGCTCCATTTTCCATTTATTCGATTTTTTTCGCAATTCAATTGAAACTAAAACTCCATGAGCGATGAATCGCCGCTATTGTGTTCGGCTGACCATGCGACGATCGCTTTACAGATAGATAGTCGTCCGGCTATCGATTCTGCACTAGAATTAGTTCACAACTCCTTTGGCGCTCCATTTTCAGCTGGCGCTCCTTTTTGCACTTTGGATTCAAATTTTCATCGCTACACATTTGCAGCAAATTTGGCTTCTTACGACTAAATATTCGTTTTTTCAAAATGTCAATTTTTTCTTTCAGTTTTTTTCATTTTTGATCAAGGCGATGATCTTATCGTGAACATCAAAAGGTTGTCAATGTTTGCGTTCCCTAAATGTACTTGTCACATGAATGATTATCTTTGGGCCTCAATAGACCTTCTGCCTTACCTCTCCCATCCTCACTCTCTTCTCTAAGATCAAACGCCACTTTTTCGAAAGTGTTAATTCAAGAAAGAAACTCGAAATTGGGGAACAAATACTCAAATCAACCTGCACGAGTGGTTTTTTTCTGCAACTTCAGCACATAACAGCTTGGCAGAAAAAAGCTTTGAATGTTTAGAAAATTCCAGGAGTATCTGTTATGAAAATCTTGGCCCTCTTCAGTCCCACTGTAATTAACTTCCTGAGCGAAATTAATACGATATTAGTGATCGCCTTGGCAGACATCTTGGGTAGAAAGTGGAAAATGTACGTTGGTGTTTTTGTTAAATCAGTTAAATAGCTCAAAACTACCTGAAGAAGTATGTGCTTTCATTATCCAGACCTTCCAAAGTTTTTGTATCGTAACATAGGACTTTTTAGCTTCTGAATTCTCCTTTTTGTTAGTCTTTTGTATTTCGAAGTGCAATTCTGCGGTGCAACTATTTGCTCATGTTTATTTCCCCATTTTTATTTAGATTTGCTTACAATTAAACCCCCTATGTATGATATGTACCTTGAAAAAACTACTGCGATAAGAAACGTCAAAACACTGCGGACTTCGAACCGGAACTTCAGCCGCAAAAAAATTTGCAACCCTCTTTGTTCGTGCTTCCTTGATGCCAGATGTTGCAGCTTTGCAATGATGAGTCAATGCTCTCTTTCTCTGAAGTGTCTACTATTTTTGGCATTGTTCATTCACTGATGAATGGGATCTCACAAATTAATTTTTTCGTACAAAATTTCGTGGTCTTCAAAGGATGGAACATAAATAAAGCCCACCTGAGTCCATTTCTAGAGTTTTTGAATACGAAATTTTCCCTGATTTTCGCAAAATTTCGTGACGTCTCCTTTGACCCCTTTTCGGAAACCTGGACCAAAAAATTACCTAACTAACCTAACTTGTGTTTTTTCAAACACAAAAACGACATCCACTTTTCGCCCCGAAAACGAAGTCCAGCCTTCCAAACGATCTGCGCCGGGTTATCAACATAAATTATCGTATTTCGAGATTCCTTATTTTTCTCCCACTTTAGGATTTTGCTACAATGCAGCTGGTCGAGCTTAATTTGCCTATGGAGGAAAGGTCATGTCAGTGAGGAGAAAAGAGAAAAGAATCAAATACCCTATTTTCCGGTTTATAAGCCGCACCTTATATAAGCCGCACCCGCCGCAGCGAACAATGGCGCGAAAGAGCCTTCGAAAAGAAAGTTTTGATCTAACAAAATGAAAACTCGCTGCATTTTGTGACTGCTTTTCATTGCGCATGTTCAGGTTTTCAGATATTTCTTGATTCTTTCCAGAGACTCGGACGATTTTGGGGTGTTTGGGTTGCGTTTTTTCCTCAAAAATACAATGGAGTTGACCGTGTTTTCTTTTGTTTTCAAAGATGTTACTGAGGTTAAAGCTGCTGCTATTTTATTCAATTTTAATGATTGTTGATGATGATGCTGATGTTTCAATGGTGCTTTCAATGCTTCCACAAGAAAGAGCGAAAGCAGAAAGTTAAATCAGGCTACTAGGTAAAATAGGTGGTAGTCTGCTTGCGCGGCTTCGCACATCGCGACGATCATCGCACGTCAGCCCGCGCGCGACGAAAATAATTGCGGCTTATACGCCGGAAAATAGGGTACATTTGTTTCAGCCTTCTGAAAATCTATTATGGTGCAAAAATGATGTCCGTTTTACAAAGTTTCACTTTGAAAAACTATAACTTTGTCCAGCCTTCAAGTTTTTGAAAACAGTCAAGACCATCAGAAGCAGTAAATTATTCGTAACTCAAAGCCCGGCTCATACCGATATTACCGGTAAAAAAACCATGCGTCAAAAAACCGAGAGTTTTTCTTTTGATATCCTGGTTTTTGAGAGATTCTAAGTTTTTTCTTTGCTGGTAATCATATTTTGAGTATATATGTGTAGACGAAGTGGTTCCCTGCGGAATGAAAAAAGAAAAGTACGAGACTGCATTTTTTCGAGCCTATCTGTGGTAGACTTGAAAGTCCGAGATTATGAGAATTTTGAATTCTTCATGCACTGAATAGCTAAGTTTTTCTGCAAAAATTGTTGACAAGATGCCCTTCTTCCAAGCTTACAGAAATGAGCGAAGCTTTGGCGATTGCCTTAATTACGATAATTTTTGATCCATAGAATGCCAGCAGTGAGTATTTTTTCGGGCGTTGATTTTCCAAGTATTTCTGAAAAATTTGCTTTAGCAAGGAGGTTAAACAATATTTAATTAATACAGAAGCTATGTTTTCAGACAAGTTGACATCATTGCACCAACCTAATATAAGGTTGTCTACCCAATACTCGAAGATCACAGGCTATTTTACTGAGACAAAATCCGAATCCTATTCCTTTTCGGACCGTTCGGAGCTTGAAAAATGAATTTTTAAGCATACATTCAAAATTCAACAAGATATTTCACATTTCTCAGGTCTTCTCTCTGAGTTCAGCTTTGGTCTCAAAAGATTTGTGTGTATTGTTCTTAATAACGTAGTTAGTGCTAGAAAGTTCGCAAAAATCACATTTATCGACAAACATCGATTTATTATCAATACCCTGTCATAAAACGCGAAAAAAAAGAGCAGAACACTTCGTTATTCACCGTGCTGTCACTTCAGTTATTGTCATATATCACTTTCAACTGTGTCACGTCTTGTCTTCCCGGGTTCTTAGCTGTGAAATTACTTTTTCCTTTTGGAAATTTTGAAAAACGGTAATTACATGCCATCTGCAGACTTGATTTTTCGACAATTTCCATACAATTTGAACACTGATTCTAAAATTTTTGAGCATTTTTTCTAACAAAATAATCTATGGAAATCTCACCAGGAACTTCCTCAATTCCTAAAGTAAACCTCAGCGGCCTGAATATGCTGACGAATGCTGATTCTCTCGGAAGGGTAAATGGCATCATAACTCTTATCTGCTGGTGCCATTTTTTGCACGCCCTGGCACCATATCTGGCAAGAAGTTATTTGAACCAACAAAGTCACGTCCACAGCTTTTTGTGCGTAGACGTGGTTGTTCGGTTTTCTTTTGTTTTTTCTGCCCCATGTTTTTTTTCACTCTTATCAAAAACACGTCAGTATTTTTTGACAACTATGTGAAACCTCTTAGTTAACGGATTCACGGAGATTAACCAACATTCCGCTCATAAACCCCCCTGTACTACTCATATTTTCCTCTTGTAATGCATCTTTTGAATAATCTCTTTTTTGCTTTATAATGGGTTGATGTAGGCTCAGTTGTGAGACCCGAGTTGGGTTCAGACATACCAGCTCAAATTCGCAGCTCCAGGCAAATCCTGAGGTACGGGGTTTTGATGTGGAAAGTAATTTTGGGGCCCTAACTAAGACACTGCCCGAGCGGCAGCTTAAATGGTGAACTCACAGTTGAGGTAGTCGCCTACAAACTGGACCAGGGATCGTATTCGCATGGATTCATGGCGCGACACGCGTGGTCTGCGCGCGAAACTGCCATGAATCCATGCGAATACGATCCTGGGGTCCAGTTTGGAGGCGAATATCTTAACTGTGAGCTCACCATTTGGCTGCCGCTTGGGCAGTGTTCAAGTTAGGGTTCCAAGATTACCCTCCAAGTTAGATCCGCATAGGCCCAGATTTGCCTCGACGCTGCCTTTAACGATGGATACAGTCTGTGTCAGTGAGCAACTCCCTTTTCCGTAGTGACTACGCCACCGCACCACGAGCTATTTGCGCGGTTTTTTCGGATCGATGAGCAGGACTCGGCACGAGGTGGCTCTCCGGAATTGCAAAAAAGAGGTTCCCCTTGACTTCCAAAATTTTAGGAAGTCCCTTTACTAAACCATAACCCTAAACAAGCCCTTGAAAAACGAAACGTCGACTACAAATATGTCGTATTTATCGGCCACAAAAACCAAAACAGCTTTGCTCTTTGTTCCAAAAACGATATCCAGCTTGCTTATAAGCCACCTGTGCCGAGCCCTGTCGATGAGGCCTATTTGAATGTCCAGGCTATGCGCATGCAATGTCTCGCGAGACTCTAGCGTGGGGGTTCCGGATTAGAAAAGGGAGTTCTTGATTGACACAGAGGAAAATCACTTCAAAAATCATGCCTCTTGTCGTACTTTTTTGAATATGGACACTATTGGCAGAATATAAGCACGTTTAATGAGTTAAAACATGTCAGCTACCTTGAAAATTCAAAAAACAATTCGCAGAAACATGTTGTGAGTAGTATAGTTGAAGGTCCCTTTATCGTGATTTTTACTTGTTTTCACGTTTTCTCATGTATGAACAACAAGCTAATAAAATGGAGTAGTGCACTATAAGTTACCTCGAGTCATTTGTAACTTAATATGTGAGATTGCACACTAAGCGCTATCGGCGACGGCACCCACACTAATAACTTCCCAGTAAAATATTATCTAGCCTAACAAAATGTAGAAATGTGATCTACTGACTAACATATAACCAACTAAAGTAAAAGAAACTAGGAAACAAGGAGAAATCACTAAAAATGAGCAGGTTCTAGTTTCGCAGTTCGTAAGTTAACGTGTAAAGTGTGCACTACGCATATTAAGTTACGAATGACTCGACGATAGATATAAAATTCTGTTATATAGTATAATCATGTAAAAAATAATTTGTAATTGTCTATGTTAATTGCTGGAAAACGAAATTAGTCAGGAGCTGCTTTTAAACTAATTTTCCGTATGAAATTGAATGTATCGAATACTGCTCTACATAGTAATAAAATCAGTCTCGAAATGACAATCTAGGCGTTGTTTTTAGGATGATGTTTATTTATTTTCTACAGGCCTCATTCCAGATTCTCGCTGCTGGAATGGCATCACAAGTTCACACTCCATTGATTCCTGTAAAGAGAGTCCCTTACCAAGGGAAGAATATGCTTCGAGATCCGATATCCGAAGTTGACCCCGAAGCACATGCTATCATGAAGCAGGTGAAATAGGCATTGAATCTTCTTTCATTAGAGTTGTGTAAATTTTTTTTTCAAGGAAAAAGCACGTCAGCGTCGTGGACTTGAGTTGATCGCTTCGGAGAACTTCACCACAAAATCTGTCATGGATGCTTTGGGATCGGCTATGTGTAATAAGTATTCTGAAGGATATCCTGGTGCAAGGTGAACTTTCAGCTCTACAAAAAAGGCCTAATGTAGAAAATTTGTTACTCATTATAGCCAGAGAGAGAGAGAGCTAAGGGAGGAGGCGCACACCTTATCGAAAACTGTCGCGAAACCGAAAAGCAGTCTGGTATAAATTTAAAAAAATGCTGACACAAAAAAAATTTTGTAAGCTGAATCAAATTAATCAAAAGATCATGCTGACAGCTCATGTGAGAAACGAAACAGCTTTCAAGTTACAATTGCGAAAACTTTGATGGGCTTCCTTAACTTCGAAGGACATGCTGTTGATTTTCTTCAGTACCAAAACTGAGACCCAACACACATTCGAAGTTTCTAGGTACTATGGTGGAAACGAGTTTATCGACAAAATGGAGTTGCTTTGTCAGAAGAGGGCTCTTGAGGTAGGTGATTTTTTCATTTTTCTGAAATTTTCAAAAAAAGAGACTATTTTTGATAATTTAGTAATGTGTGTGTTTGTTTAAGGTCTTCGGCTTGGATCCCGAACTATGGGGCGTAAATGTGCAATCATTGTCTGGAGCACCAGCAAACTTTGCTGTTTACACTGCTATAGCAGAGCCTAATGGACGAATTATGGGACTTGATCTACCCGATGGTGGCCATCTCTCTCATGGGTTCGTACATTTTTCACTCGAATGACGCTTAGAGTCGTATGCAAGCGCTGATCTAGCGCCGTGCCAGCGCCGTGCCGTCGATTGATCAGTACGGGGTGCCTTCATGCGAGAGCGATGACACGGATCTAGCACGGCGCTAGCACTGTGCTGGTACACGAGGGTCTACATTACTGAGTTCAATCTTATTTAGGTTCTTCACCCCAGCCAGGAAAGTTTCTGCTACATCCATGTTCTTCCAGTCAATGCCGTACAAGGTGAGGAGGATTTTGGTCACTGACAAATAATTTGAATTTGTCGCGTATCTAATACCTTTGCATATTCAACTCTTTTGTTCAGGTCGATCCAAAAAGCGGTCTGATTGATTATGACAAAATGGAACAAAATGCCATGCTGTTCCGACCGAAGGTCATTATTGCTGGTAAGATCAACAGAAAATGCTAGTGAATTTGCTGAAAAAATAATTCTCAGGTGTTTCCTGCTACGCTCGTCACTTGGACTATGCTCGTTTCCGAAAAATTGCTGATAAGGTGAGTCTCACTGTGTGATTTACATATTTATGGAACATGATGTATAGTGCTTGAGCTGTAGTTGTTTTTTTGGGGGGGGGGGGGAGGGAGGAGAGGGAGGGGGAACGGGAATCTCAGATCAACAAAATTGCATAGGCGTTTTGAGAAATGCCGCAGCGGGTTTTTTACCTACGACTCTTAGGCGTCAATAGCGCGCGATGGTACGTGCGCATAAAAAAGACTTAAACCCTCCTAGAAATCGCGTTGAAATTGTGGAATGTCTACAAGGCTTCAAGAAATTCACGAGTGACTTGTTTTTTTTTTGTCGCTATGAGGGCCAGGACGTAGTTTATTGTTTGAAAGAAAAAAACATTTTTTATGTGAGGATAAATTAGAATGGAACAATTTGACAGACAGTCTTTGTTCTATAGAATTTCTCACTAACGCATAATCAGTGCTTTACATTCCAAAGTCTACTAGATGGGAATCGATATGGTATATTTGTTGCACTGCTAACAACACCTGCGCGTAAAAAATGGCCATAGGGTGCAAAGCTTGAAATGTATGCACTGTGGCCATTTTTGAAGCGCAAGTTCTGTTGTCACTGTAAGGACACTAAATCCAACTGCCGAATCAACCACACTACATCTTTGTCTGTTCAGTGTGGTGCTTATTTGATGTCTGACATGGCTCACATCTCTGGTCTCGTCGCCGCTGGTGTTATTCCTTCGCCGTTCGAGTATTCTGACATTGTCACCACTACCACACATAAATCACTTCGTGGACCTCGTGGGGCGCTGATTTTCTACAGGAAAGGTAAGTGAGCTTGTGCTCAAAAATAGATTCTCTGAAGAAAAAAAAATTCAGGTGTGCGATCCACCAATGCCAAGGGTGAGAAGATCATGTACGACATTGGAGAGAAGATTTCCTCGGCTGTTTTCCCAGGATTGCAAGGAGGACCACACAATCATACCATTGCTGGTAAGTTTGACTTATACGTTGAAACGATATAAATCTTGTAACAGTAATACACTACGTCAATTAGAACAAGGTCCTGAAATCTATTAGGTTGCCTCAAAAGTAAATCTCTTTTCTAAATGATTCAAAGGTTTTCGTTTCCCTACCACGCTTGGGGAGGTGTTCGAAAGAGTAAAATAAGCTCTATAAAATGACTACCAGAGATCCACCCAAGTCATAATTAAGGTAAAGTTTGGAGTCATAAATTCAATTTTTTAACTACCTAAAAATTGGATTATTTCCAAAAAATGCCTGCGGAACCTCCAACTTGGTCGTCATACACTAGAGACATAATCATAGTCATAAATATATTTGCTGAATTTGTTTTTACGGCTCAAAATTTGAAAACAAAAATAGCGTAGAAATGCAAAAATATCTTTCTTCTTAGGTTGAGTTACTAGTTACTGGTTAGTTACTTAAGTTAGATTTGATATCTCTCGATTAAGAAGCACATACAGTGTATACTTATTAAGGCCTGCAGCATACAATCACATACGTGGGAGGATGAGGGCGGAGTTTGCCATTTTTGGTCCTTTCTTCTCGATTTTTATACGCGAAAAATCGAAAGCAAATCATACTTAGATATTTGCAAATGCATCTATAGATACTACTATGCATTTCATGTACGATGACCATTTTGAAGCTTTGTAGGTTCTTCTTGCACTTGATTTTTCAGCTGTTTTTTTTTGATTTTGGCTTCTCTACATGCTTTACGGCTCAGGTGAATCTCGATGGTCATTCTTAGAGCTCGCTTTGCTCTATCGAACAGTGTCTTAAATTTGCTAGGAAAACAGAAAAGCTTTGATTTATACAAAAAAAAGATTCATTTCTTAGACAGCCTAATAGAAACATCTCTTCTGAGCGTGTTGGATTCTTTCTTTCGCAAAACCCATATAAATTTGAGGAAAATAAGATTCATTATTGTCTATTCGGGATTAGTCCTAAATTGGTCTGACGCGGTGCGCATCTCCACATCTTCGCGTGACGTCTGCGTTCCGCATTGCTTGAAAAACTGTGAGGGCGGTGAGGGCAAACATAGCGCAAATTCTTGGCAGTGTATGCAGTCCCACGTCGACGTTTTAGACTGTCCTTAGCACAGCTGTAAACCTTCGCGAAATTACAAATTTTCAAAATTCGTGTTTTCAAGGTATTGCTGTGGCTTTGAAGCAATGTCTTAGCGAAGAATTTGTGAACTATTCGAAGCAGATACTTGCAAACTCCCAGGCACTGTCTCGTAAATTGATGGAATTGGGTTATACGCTTGCTACAGGTAAAGTTTTAAATTATCTCTTCTCCTGCGCACTTGTGCAAATTACTTCAGGTGGAACCGACAATCATCTTTGCCTGGTCGACTTGAGACCGAAGGGTATCGAAGGGGCTAAAGCCGAGCATGTGCTGGATATGGCTCACATTGCTTGCAATAAGAACACCTGCCCTGGAGATGTATCCGCATTTCGACCGGGTGGTATCCGTCTGGGAACCCCTGCTTTAACGTCGCGTGGACTCAAAGAGAAGGACTTCGAGAAAGTTGCAGAGTTCATACATGAAGGTACATGGCTGCGGTTTTAAAAAATTTTCAAAGTTTGTCGTAATATCTTAAACCTAAGTAGATCCAACATTTTTAGAAATCTGGTATCTGGTAAAATTATAGAAACAAAAAGTTAGTAGTACAAATCTAGAAAAATTGCAGAAATCCTAAAATTACAGAAATATGTTGATTCGATTTCGGTGAACGGTAAACTCGGCTGCACGAAATCGCCCATATCGTTGTAAGCTGAACGCACGCGAGCGTGCCTGCAACACGGCTGCCGAGTACTTGCGCTATGATGACTCATGCATGTGAACAACGTTAGCCAGCAAAAAACACGCTTGCGGGCTCAGCTTGGGCGATTTGTGCAGTCAACTATACTTGAAGGACTTTCCATACTCCACATCACATCGTGAGATGTCATAGATTGCAATATCGCTTGATGTTTTTACGTTTATTCCTTTTTCGCTTTGTACATTAATCATAATATTTCTACATATCTGAGCTTCAAATCCCACTCTTTAGGCTTGGAAATTCTGCTGCGATATCAAGGTCAAGCCGGAAAGACGATGAAAGACTTCAAATCATTTACGGAAACGAATAAGGACTTCCTCAAGGACATTGGAGAACTAGCTCAGGTAAACTTCGATTTCATGGTTGTAGAGAACAAAAACGAAGTTTGTAATATATTCCTTGCAGAAAGTCGAAGCCTTCACTGCTCAATTTGACATTCCCGGCAATCCCGAGTTCTAGACGTGGTTCTTGTAGCGCAGTTGATTGTTTAACTAGTGAAATTGATCTTTCACTTGGATAGAGTTAGCAAATATTTTTGCAGATTTTTATATTGACTAACTTATTCTTTGCATTTTGATACCAACTTGTTGTACCTTTGATGGCAATGCTCACTTCCTTAAACAATAAAACAAGATTCGTAATCTATGCAATTTTTTATTATAGTGAAAGCATATAACAAGAAGTGATCATCACAGGATTGTTCATGTACATGCACTATCTTCAATTAGTTGTTATTAGATATTCTAGTAATCAGCAGTATAGGGAATGATTGGCTTAGTGGTATGAGGCGCCACCATGACCAGCTCGGAAACAGGTTCAATCCCTCCCTGGGCCAACCCCTCTACCCTCCGGAGCTGTTAAATTAGTAGCAGAGTAAGGATAAATGCAGGAGGATAAAAGCACTGACTGGTAATCGCCTGGCTTTCGCAAGTCATTATAATAGGCCCTAATGTATTCGGTAGCCTCTTTAACTACTCAGACAAATCTGCGCGCAGGCGGCGCGCACTGAATCAGCGAGCGATGTACCTTCCCGCCGCCTGTGTGTGCAGTGCGCGCCGCCTATGGATTGAAGGCCCGCCGCCTGCGCGCTACGAGGAAAATTTTGGCAGGAATCTGCTCGGATTTTTGTTGTCGGTCTGAATATCTTATGCTTGTTGGACAATATGGTTTCACAACTGTTTTATTAACGAATAATATCTACAATTTTCAAATTTGACAGGTTTTAACACAAATTGCAACAAAATACAGTATTTACAGGATAAGGATGTCTTTGACAGCTGGCATTCAATACTATTAGCTTAGGTAGTACTTACAAAATTCACAAACTTAAAGTACAACAACAAGATATTTACATTCAAATGTGATATCAACAAGACGTGTGTATGAAGTAATGAATACAATGAAGTTGATAGTAACTAATGCGACAGTATGACGAGATAACTTGAAATAACTGCCGGTAAAATCACTAAGTACTTTGATAAATAAACTGAACAGTATACATAGATATGAATGCATAATATATGTACAGATTTAGAGGAATAAAATATGAAAATGCGATAGCAATGAACAAAACGCGGGCATGCTTGATCAGCCAGAATTGAATGCTCCTGGAATCCATATACTCAATTCAATTACAGGAATAAAACAATTGGATGACGGAGATATGATGGGTATAAGCATGAAAATTGGGATGAATGATGAGACATGAACAAATCTAACACATGCATAATCTGGATCAGCCTCGTCCTCGTTAGTTCTCGTAATGGTTTTTGTTCTATCAAGAGTTGATTCCATCAGTCGGTCTAGGCGCATGCTGTGGCGCTGAAATACACGCTATTAACAAACTGAAGAGAAAAAGCAATAAATATTGACGAATGCAGAAAAAAATGCATTTTTTCACCTCTTGAAAATAAATAAAGTCAGGGCTGAGGTCCCACGACCATAAATTGTCTTGATTCTTGGTATTTGGAGTCATTGTAGATCGGTGGCTGAAACACAATAATGTTTTTAAACAAAATGCCTACTTTGGCTTCAAAAAGCAAGACTTACTCTTTTGAGGTCGACTTTTTTTCGGCATTCGCACATAGCCATCATTGTACTAAGGCAGTTGTGACCTGAATTAAAGTTTGCTTTTATCTTGTGAAAAAAGAAGAGAAAGAAATAGCATCGAAAAGAAACGAAGGAGGCGCAACGACGCAAGAAAGCTTATTGATTGAAAATGAGCGTCCCTGTGTCACGGGGTCAATATGATTAGGAACCAGAGGTAGGATAAAAGATATGGGAAACTGACTGAGAAACAAGAGTGAATATGGATTAAATAAAAGAAGACGTGCTAAAAAAGGCAAAAAAAATCGCATACTTGTTTTCAAAACAATTTAGAAACAGAAAAAAGAGGTGAAACAGCAGAGTAAAAGTGAGGTAATAAACAACACAATACTTTGTATGGAAAAAACAAGGAGGAACGAGGAGAAACAATCATCTGCAAAAAATTCTGCATTTGCGCGCGGAAGCAGCGTCCTCCTCCGCTTACGTGAAGCTACAGAAACTTCATTGCGCGCCGCCTGCACGCACATTGTGTCTGCGCGCCGCCTGCGAACATGCATTGCGCGCCGCCTGTTGGCTGAAATCAGTGCGCGCCGCCTGTGCGGTGCAAGGTCACGCCCACAAATCACGGCCCGCCGCCTGCCCTGCTGGCCGTGAGTGCGCGCCGCTTGCGCGCAGAATTGTCTGAGTATGAAGTAGGGTGCGTTTGGCGGGGTGGAGGAGCGAACACCTCAAATAGGCACCGCCTCCGCGGATCACTGGTCCCAACACGATGCATAACAGTAGGATGAAAGGACCAGCAGCCCGCGGAGGCGGTGCCTAATTGAGGTGTTCGTTCCTCCAGCCCGTTCGGCGCATCCCCGCAGAGGGTACTGAAGAAGTCGAATCCTTTATCTTTATACTTAAAAACCAAAGTATCACCATACTAACTGCAGATTATTACGGAACGATCTGCCCCATTCGGTGCTGCCGATGGCTAACGCGACAAAGACGATAAATGTCAAGGCGACGCTTGCTTGAACCGCATATTTCAGAAGCCGCCTGACTTACAAGAAAAAGCGGCACAGATCAGTGGGTGCTAGTGCTACGCTATCTACAGCGGCTGTGTTGGCTACGTGCCAGAAAAGGAGGCCTTGGCGAGCGGCAACACGCGTACTACCGTAATCGCCGTCGATTAGCGTTACCTCGGTCTCAAGACCTCTGATCGAGAAAAATTCTGCATCTGAGATGACAAATTATGTCATGGAAGGGATTCTTAGTACTGGACTAAGCTGAGATCATCATGAGTGTACTAGATTATGACAAATTCTGTAACTTGTATTTACGTCGGGGATGGACAGCTAGGCCTGCGAATCTGGAGCGCAGTGAGACACAGCACTGTAGGGTTGCATATATTCAGTGCTTGGTACCTGAAACTGAAAATTTTCAACCAGAACTGGCTTTACGTCAACTGACCATCAATTCAAGCAGCACTGGGACGAACAACAATCCATGCAGAACTCCAATACCGACAACTGCAAATATAGTCCACACAAATGTTCGGACTATGTAGGAGGGGACAAACGCCAAGAGTGAAACTCCAACAATCGTTGAGAGAGCTGACTGGAGAATTGGCTCTGTCATGACTGTCAGACACTTCTGCAAAGAATTAAAAATTATACATGAGCTTGGAAAGTCTGGTAATTGTACATCCCATTTACACAAAAGGGGTGTAGGACGATTCGCACGACCGTAATGTTTTCCACACATGATCATCGCGCGCGACACACCCTGCGGCGGCTTTTGCCTAAGCAAAACGGGGGGAGGAAAGGTTTGCATTACATGTTAAGACAAGTCAAAACAGGGAGACGCTAGAGACCGCCCGTGCGAAAAGACCGTCTCCCACACAAAAGCAGCCGAAGCATACCTTCAAGCGATCATCCTTTTGAATAATAAAGTGAAATGTGGTGTGCGTCACGTAGTCCACTGTAATTGGCAGTTGTCGCATTATCAACAGAATTTGAAAGATACAGCAAATCAAAACACTTGTGGTATAGGCGTTTTCCATGCGTATAGCGAGCGTGGCCCTGCACACATTTGTACACGTTGAAAAACTTGTTGAACCTCTACTTTAGAGCATTGGTTTTTGTAATCTCTGGCTATCAAAAACTGCCACGCGCATACGTGGGCAAACGTCGGCAAAGCTCCGCCCGCTATACTGTGGGGAAAGACAATATAAAAAAGGACAGAAACATGAATATAGCATATTCTTGGTTGTAAATGAAAATCGCGTAATTTCCGATTCTTCATGGTGGAGGAGAAAAATAGGGATTATCGGGAGTAAGGGAAAGTTTATATTACATAGAATTGAAAAGATGTGATAAAGGTCCAATAAAAAAAGCGAAATTCCGGAAAGGATCGAAAATCGAAATGATAAAATACAATTATTCTCCAGGTCCCGTAGTCATTAAATCTGGACGTGTTCGTAAGTGTGCATTCGTAAGTGTCGAATACTGCTGTGCAGCACAGGTTGTTAGGTGGTCCTTTATTCGTTAAATACTCACCAGAAAATCCGATACTCATTACTATAGTTATCATAGAAATGATGTCTAATCTCGTGCCCACTGCGGACAGTGCGCCAACCACGCCCACATTGATAGAAAGGATTGAGATCGCGATGCATGCAGCTGACATCGGGCGAGGCACCTCGAACAAATCATTTTTTGATGCGCATGGGTGGACCAAACTCTTAACGAAACCAATCTAGTGTATTCAACTGCACTGTACTATGTCAATTGCACTGTCCATAAGCATTTGACGGTGGAAGTTGGTCACCGCAAAAGGCAGTGACCAACTTTCACAGTGCACGAGATGTAGCACCACAATGAAGTGTCTTTCTTCACTTTATTTTTCCTCTATACGTAGATCTATCGTTATTAGCACCCTCTCTTCATACTTTAAAGTCAAATAATATGATGATGATATAAAGATCTACGAAATTTAGCCAATGGGTCTCCTCGAAATGAGATCTGCACCGTAAGGACCGCTATGTTGAGAGTAGGCCACTGCTCGGTCTTTTTGATTAACCGTGTGAATCCTCTTCTATGTATCCTAGCTGTGGTAAAATACAGGCGCATGAGCTGAATGCTAATGATTTGAAGCATCGTTGTTTCATCCACAACTTGGCCTTTGTTTCGACGGACTTCTTGGTTTCACTGAGCGTACAAACTAATGGGCGGCATTGGCGCAAAGCATTCCGCGGTCACTTGAGGTGGCGGTAGCATGTCCTGGTCACTTAAAGGCAGCGTCCGGGCAAAATTTCGCCTCTCATGTTTCTGCCATTCTGGGGCTTTCCCGTGGTCCTGAATACAGTTGTAAAGTCCAAATTGTTCAACACCCCCAAAAAACCCGATTCTTGGGGACCCTCTCTTCAAGAAGCGGACGAGTTTCGGATTGCTCGTCCCCATCGCATGCCAGCGGGAGGAGCTGCAACTACACGGATGCCGTTGCATTGCAGTATGCAGTGCAACTGCAATGCAACTGCAATGCAACCGCACACCTGCGTGAGCACTCGTCCTCAGCGGCGGTTTGTGATACGAAGGGACAGTTTGTGATACGTATCACAGGCCGGTATCTCCTTTTAGAGGCCACTTCAAACATTCGGACCAACGCAGATCGGATACTCGTATACATGGGCCCCTCTTTACAACTATGTGCTAACCTGGGTGGATGGATCTTGCCCGGACGCTGCCTTTAACTCCTCTTGAACAAACAAAATGGTTCAAATCAACAAGCGCTAGCAACTTCGTTATTCAACTTATCCTTCTCAGCTGTACCGAGTGAGATTGACAGGCTAATCTATTCGACACTATTTCCAATGTTTATCTACTCACACTAAATATAGTGCACCCTACGTGTATCAGATAAATATGGAGATAAAAAAACTGGGCAGTCAAATCTTTACAAAATGTGTTCACTTACCATCAGAACGCATATAAGTAGCATGGTGACCACTGCGGTGACTACATTGGTAATCACACCAGAAACGGTGGCCAGTTGTTGATCGACAAGTAGAAAACTGAAATTGCAGACATTTGCGTTGTACCGTGAACTTTTAGGATTAAAGCCTTACGAACTGAACGCATTTCAGTTGTGAAGATTCCACATTTACAGTTCCGACTTACATTAAAGGTAAGGGGCGCAAGATTCACGCAGAAAAGGTAGCCTAGGCGGCTAATAGGTGCAAGTCTCTCAGACCATCTCATTCTGAGTAAAACTATAATAATGGCATTCCAACTTGTTAGCAAGTGTAGCGGCTCGGTAGGTGCTGTGCACCTAGATTATCTGCACCTTGATGCTCGCCCCTATCAACGATGCGATGTAGCGTAGTACCCTAAAATCCGGCATATAAGAACGGACTTATCTGCAGTTTTGGCAGGAAAATTGATGGAAAAACGCCGCAAAAGGTCTCACAGATAAGTCCGCCTAAATCCTCTCGCAGATACGTCCGTCTGTCCTGAGCATGAGCAAGCGCGACCTAGGAGCACAAACGCGCGCGACCGCCCGCGTAGCTTGCCGGTGTAGATTTAAACAAGGCCGCGAAATCGCCTGAAAGGAAGAGCCAAAGTATTCGACAAGCCGTGCAGACTAGTTGCTGACAGTTTCGCCGAGGATTTGTCATCATATACGCTGGATAGGTGAGTTCTTTTCTTAGATATAACATTTCTTGTGTGTTGGAATTGATGACGCGATAGTAAGGTAGGATTTTACCCCATTTTCAGGAATATTAGGCAGGGGAGGTTTATGATATAGGCTAACTACAGTACATGCATCTCCTACAAAGCTTTTTTAGAACGCTGATCGTCGCGCATACTCTGTTCCAAGCAGTAAGTGACGAAGTACAAAGACACAAACGGTTCGTAGTTTTGCAAAACGCTACAGAGAATTTGTTCTGGATATCACATGTTTCAGCGATAGGAATCAAGCCGTGAACTCCCCTAAAAGAGACCGCCAAAGGATTCGACAAGTCGTGCAGTCTAATTGCTGACAGTTTCGTCGCGGATTGGTCATCACATACGCTGGTGGGTTCTTTTCCTATATAAGACAGTGCTTGTACACATGGAATTTTTCTGTCCGAAAAATCATAATAGGTTTTCTCATTATATCATTGCAATCATCTCATCTTATCATTCATCTTATCGTTTTGGAAGCTACAATGTTTTTAATACATCTCTCGAACCCGTACAGGCTACAACCCTTGAACCTGACTCCTATACTTTTTGCTTCCTCTATTGTTTTCATGTTCTGAACGTAGTCTCTGTTGACCCATGCCATACGGCTTTTGTCAAATGCTTTCTTGAACGGAAGAGTGACAGCCTGAGAATGCTCAACCTTAGCAAAGCATTAGGTTTCCTTGTTCTTTTTCTCATCTGTTGTTTCATTAAGCCTGTACATCCAAGACAAAAGACAGTGTAGTCAAATTTGACACCGCCTGCTTTTTCTTGTAAAAGAGTAAACCTTTCGATGATCAGCACAAATTTATAGGACTCCACGTGATTCCAGTAAGCAATGACCGCTAACTCAGCGAAGTTCGCAATCACGCAGAGCCCTATATTTCCAACATACTCTCACACGCTGTGACTCAAGCTGTTCAGGTATCTCGGATCTCAATGGCTCCCAGAAGGAAGTCCTACACCGCGCTTTTTAAGCTTAACGTGGTGGAATATGCCCTGCAACATGGAACATCGGCTGCCGCTGTTCGCTACGAAGTCTCTGATGGTCTGGTTAGAAGATGGAAGGCCGATAAAGAAAATCTGGAGGATATGCCACTGAGGAGACGCGTCAACCGTCATGGGAAGCCAAAGGTGGAGGAAATAGAGGAAGCTCTCTATGCATGGATTGTGCTGACGCGAGAAGGAAGCCGAGCAGTGCTTGTCAAAGACATTCGCGAGAAGGCATTGCAGCTAGCGCGGGAATCTGGCCACCAGGACTTCAGGGCATCGGCGATGTGGTGCAAAGGCTTTATAAAGAGAAAGAACTTATCTCTGAGGCGAAGAACCAGTGTCGGCCAAGCACTTCCGGAGGATTATGAAAACATCTGCGCGGACTTCAGGAGATTCGTACAAAGGGAATCGCTTCACATCTCCCCCCACAATCTTGGGAATGTCGATGAAGTCCCAGTGCCCTTCGATATGGTTTATTCAAGGACCGTGGATCAAGTGGGAGCCGATACTGTAAGGATTGACTCAACAGGACACGAAAAATCGAATTTTACCGTTGTCCTCTCTGTGACGGCCGCTGGAGAGAAATTAAGACCGATGATCATATTCAAGAAAAAGAGGATTCCCAAGGATAATTTCCCTCCTGAAGTGGTAGTTAGAGCCAATGATAAAGGCTGGATGAATCACGAACTGATGAGGACATGGCTCCATGAGGTGTGGAACAAACGGAAATGCTATGTCAACGATCCCTCACAGTCATTACTCATATTAGATTCTGCAAGGTATCGTTTCGTATTTTATCATTTCTTGAGCTTATCTTGCTTTTTTAAGATGCCATCTCACAGAAGACGTCCGAGAGCTTTTCAAGGAGCACTCAAAGATCGCGGTCATTCCAGGCGGAATGACCAAATATCTACAGCCTCTCGACGTCGGCATCAACAAGCCCTTCAAAGACAATCTGAGGGCGGGATGGGAGCGATGGATGGCCGATTCAGCACGAGCAAGGTACACAACAGGCGGCGCCAGGAAAAGGATGACCTACGGAGAGGTAGCTGTACTAGTCTACGAGAGTTTCAATGCAATCACTGAAGAAACCATTGCGAACAGTTTCACCAAGGCTCTCGATGAGAATCAATAATAGAAGGCATGAACGAGGATTTCGACGCTTTGATTGTTGCTGATAATAACGATAATGATGGTCGTTCTTTTGGTCAAGTTGTTGCCATGAGTGTTTGTTATGATGAACATGGAATGCTACCTGAATAAAGATCTGTTGCTTCGGTTCATTCTGAGACGGCAGCGCAATTGCGCATCCTTCTTGTTTTCATGTGAAAAAAATAAGGCGGACTTATCCGCGGGACTTGGCGGCGCGCGAGGCGCGCGAGGCTGTCACGAAAGCGGACTTAACTGAGAGCTCTTTTGCGGTCTTATCGGCGAGGCGGTCTTTACTGCGAAGCGATCTTATATGCCGGATTTTAGGGTAGTAACTAATGCAATCTACAAAGCTTTATTTTCGCTACACAAATACTTAGACAAGATGTAACCACTGCTACAGGGTTCACTATCATTAGAATTAGTTAAGCAAACACAGGACGAGCTGCCTTGTTGCATGCCTGCCTTGGTACCAATGGCGCACTACATATTGGCATGTAGTAAACCCCTCGTCAGGGCATCTTCTCTGTGGCAGGCCTGAGTTGATCTCTTTGCGCCTCAATCCAGCTTTTGACACCGGCCACTATCAGAAGTCGAATATGAGTGCTATCAAGAACTTCGCCTATGAAATGGGCAAATAAGATAAAGTTGTTTTGTTTGCCCAAACAAGCAACTGTTTCTGCATCAATCTTTATTGCAAATAAAAATTCTCGGAACAGAATTAAAATGAGATGACCCGTTGGAAATAAAATTTTGGAATAGAACTAAAATGAGATAAACAGGATTTTACTTTCGCTGATTTCGAAAACTGAGTAAGCTTCGCCAGAAAACATGTTTTTTCTTCTGGCTGCGATCAGCTCTTCATCGGTCCTCTCTTTTAGGCCTCCGAAATTGTGCAGTTTTGCGACGATTTTGTCGTGATGTTAGAATACTGACATGTATCGCAAGTTAATTATGAGCAAGTTACGGGAATATTCTCTGCGTCTAATCTTTTCCACATTATTTGCATCAGTCCACGTCTCAACTGAACGTGAATTGATGGGATGCATCATGCGAGCGCGGAGGATGGCCAACTCCAAATTCCTTTGCATGCTTTTAGCACGGGATGGGGGGCGGTCATTATTTCACCTGACGGAACCTTAACTGAGGGCCTCAGTTTGGACACCTGAACTGATCTACTTTACTAAGCCTTAACTTGTACGTGTGTTTCAGGGGTTCACCACCAAATCCGCCACACACTGTTTGAGCACTGCAGCCTCTCTTCTCCCTCGTTTTTTCACTCTTTCTTGGAACCCAACTCAATTTGAACAAATTAGCGTACGAAGATCTTTCCTCTTACTATAAGAGAAATTTTTCTTGCTGTTAGTTAAAAAGATACGCATCTAGGGCTTTTATATCCGTAAGGTAATAGCTCAGTCTGATAACGATACAAAAAAATGTATAGGAAACAAAGGGAGTTAAAGGTAGCGGACAGGCAAAATGGACCCCTGTCAGATTTTGGTAGTTTCGGGTAGTGGACCCCCCAAGTACACCGTAGCCCCAACCCCACATTCCAATTCATGCGCTAAGTCCTGAAAAAAGCGCTTCAAAACTCCACCAGCCCCGCCCACTTGCATTGAGTGGGCGTTATTGGTGGAAGTTTGAAGCGCTTTTTTCAGGACTTAGCGCATCAATTGGAAGTTGGGGTTGGGGCTACGGTGTACTTGGGGGGTCCACTACCCGAAACTACCAAAATCTGACAGGGGTCCATTTTGCCTGTCCACTGCCTTTAAACGAGGCTATATAGGCTATAGGCTGGTTCAGCTGGCTAATGCCAATGAAGGGTCCGGCGGCGATTGCTGCTAGCGCACCTTATCTACCGTAATCGTCTGCGGATACCGCGGCAGCGGTAGGGGACAAGAGGTCGCCAATAGGCTTCACCCCCCCCCCCCCGAAGACTGCCACCACGAGCTATGATGGATACAAGGCGCGCTTTTTGTAGATGTTTACACTTTATACTCCGAGGAAACAACGGCAGAAACTAATCTCTCAAAATATATTACCTCCCAAAGTATATGAGTCATTGATACGCATTTACACTTCTTCTGACGTGTAAATGAGCCCTTACCTTGTGTCGTAAGCAAAGCCATCAAAGCCACTATTCCGAATTGTACTTCTTAAATATTCTGCTCGAGGTTTATCGTTTGACGGATTGAGAGAGCGAATTCTTAGCAGCATTTTCGTAGCTTCGATATCCCCGTTGAGATTAAACCTAAAGGAAAATCTTTTCCGGTTTTCATTTTGAATACCACAAGGATTTTTGGCCTACCTAATATCGCTCTTAAACTGCGATTTCGTAGTGAGCAGTTTACTGATTGCAGAGTTCAATCTATCAGTGGAAAAAGCTTTGTTTCTGTTGGCGCTTTCGAAATCCTCCAACCAAAACTCGGCTTTCGAAGCGTATCGTGAGCTGGAATGATAAAGTATAACTCCCCGAGGTTTTTTCTTACAGTAGAGTTTTTGCGGAAATAAATAGGGAACCTCGAAAGATTATCGTAGAGTTGCAACAGCCTTTTTCTCTCCTCTGGATTCCCCAATGATTTATTCTGCAGATGCACAACAGCAAAGCAGTATGGTCCGTAGTCGCGGAAAAGGCGCTCTTGTGCCCTTAGCTCTTCGGCTGCATAGGAACCGAGAGGGGCCAACAGCTTTAGGTCCAAACCGAGAGGAAGCACTGAAAAGAAGAGAAAAAGCCGGATTACAGCACTGTCTGCGGGGACTTCTGGCACAGATCTATATTTACAAAGTATGATACGTGGCAGTTGTCCATTTGAGCACCTTTTGGCGGTTTTACCTCTCACACTGTGCCTATGAAATTTTTCTTACCTAAAGCATAGTTTATCGATGCGGCGAGGTAAACAACGTAAACAATGACGATGATAATTTTGGCAGGTACAGTAGAAACGATCTTTGCTAGCTTTGCTCCATAGCAGGCCTTAGTTGGGTGAGAACGTCTGTCCAACTGTAGCTTAGGTTCTAAATCTTTCTTTGTTCAGTATAGCTTTGAAAAGCTCCGTTGCAGGAATAAAAAATCCTGCAGAGAATGAAACTTGAATTTTGATCTAAGCATTCAAATGGTGTTTAAAAAATAAAAGAAAAATTTATCTTGCCTTGGGAATGATCAAAAAAATTCAATCATACATCTTCTAATAGATACCTTTTTTCGGCACCCTATAGCATAGTAGCGAGTGCCTTCCTGCAAGTTCCCTTCTACAGCAAAGCACCATCACTGCGTTGAAAAATGTCACTTGAAATAAAAACATGAAGAGTATTGCCATAGCACAGTAAGTGCAGAACACCCCTAAAATGATTGCTAAATTATGAAAAGAAAACGGACGGGAGAGGAAATTTAAAACCACTTACGAACAGCGTAAAAGTCCGAAACACTACCAATCGAGAATGAAAGACCATCCGTAAGTGACGTTAAGAACAAAGAAGCGGCTGTTTCAGTAAGCGCTTCGACAAATCTAGAATAAGATTGGTTCATCTACCTCGAAGCATCAACATTTATCTATACATATCAGTGACGAACCGAAGGAAAGGAAGGGCGCCCTTTCCCCGAGAAACTGCAGATTTTTTGAAAGCAATCCGAGGGACTTGTAGAATTGCGCTAGTAAGGCTCCGCCAGATTTCGCTCCAGAGCGCCCAAAAGCGTCCAAATTTTTCTAACCCCTCTTCACTTCTCTCATCCCTCCTCAATCGAGAAAGTGAAGAGACATTAAAAAAATTCGGACGCTTTTGGGTGCTGGGAGCTTCTAGGCGCTTTAGAGCGAAGTTTGGCCTGGCTAACTGGTTATGAAAAGTCAGATCAGCTTTGTAGAAAAAGAATTCTTCTTAACACGTTGACGACCTTGTGTATCCGCACGTATGCACGCCCTGACTTCCGTTTAGCATTTTCGTGCATCCGCGCATATGCACGCTAGTTTTTTAGGTGCAAGCGAAAAGTTTTAAGGTAACTTCTATGCAGTAATACTATTAGTGGCCTGATTGTCTTACAGAACACAGGGCTTCGCGGCAGCTGTTCAGAAGTTTTGGCCGCAAAATTGGGCAATCAGTACGTTTTTGATGTAGTCAATACATGCTAATTACTTTTTCTCGAGAAGGTGAAAACTCTGTATAGCTGTTCTGAAATCAAACAAAGATGAATCAGGCAAAATACATCTGGTTTTACAACGCTTTTCTCGAAGAGCGATTCCTCAGATATAGCCATTGCATGGATTTTTGGAGGGAAAATCGATGCAAAAACCTTGATTTGTGTGAGTCCTGGTAAGGCTCTGTAATATACCTGTATGTCTGAACAAAGTTCGCATGTTTTATTAATAAGTGTCAAAAAGACTCCCACATAATGTTTTCGTGCATCCGCGCCTATGCACGGGCCAAATGCGCGAAGGACGTTAGTGGGAGTTTCGCCCAAAATGGCGCGGTCGTCAACGTGTTAATAAAGTTGCCGACGTAATGCCCCTTTCTCCACCCCAGTTTTCGAGGTAGGAGGGGGGGGGGGGAGCAGGATGGCTTAGGATTACGCCCTCTCAATCGGAAGAATTTGGCGCGTCCTCTACCCGGAAAAATTTCTTTGACAACGATAAATTGGACGAAGGTCGATCATTCGAACACATATCTCAATGCCCTCTTCAAAAGCTTACGCATTCTTGGTTTCAAATTCAAAGCATAGCCCTTATCCATGCTGATTGGATTTTTAGTTGCTGAATTCCCCTTCACTTATTATCTACAAAAAAAAAGCTGTAATCCGTCATTACTCCAGCCACTTATAAACAGGAACATTTTGATTTCTTCAATATTTCTACAAAAATGTTCAGATGAACTCATATTTATAACCTTTGCTCCAAGTCCGGACCGCTCGTGAATCGCCAACTTTTTAGCATCAAAAACATGTTGTCGGTTCCGATAGCTAAAATAAATGAATAACTATGCTTTGGTGGACAGAAATCACCAGAAAATTACCCACAGACTATGAGAAACGGCATGATGAAAACGAGAGGAAGGAATGGATAGCGAACCCAGAATAATAGAGCCATGGAAGCTACGGTTGCTAATGTTGCATTGAACATGGCGAAGAAACCAATAAATGGTTGAGATCTACAATTTTTTGTGATTTGAATTCATAGCTATTTTCACAGATATATTAGGTTGGTCCGAAAGTTCGTTCGCACCATTTTCAAAAAATCATAACTTCTTTCACTCACAATGATTTTGCGCAATTCAAATTTTATTAGAAAGCGTAAAGCATGTAGTTTCCAATGGTCCCCTGATGACCTTTCAGCATTTTCAGCTTGCAGAGATAAAAATGAAAGAACGAGAACATCCGAAATTTGGAATTTTTGAGAAAAAATTCTAAAAATCTAGAAACTGCGCGATAAAATCCAGAAAAGCCATTATCCTAATTTTTCTTATATTTGATTACTAAGTGAGTTGAGTTTGTGCTGATCGAGCTCTTCTTTCAAAAGTTATGATTTTTTGAAAAAAAATGCCGAAAAATCGATTTCTTAGGAATCCTTAGGAAAATGATTTTTCGGCATTTTTTTTCAAAAATTCATAACTTTCAAAAGAAGGGCTCGATCAGCACAATCTTAACTCAGTTAGTAATCAAATATAAGAAAAATTAGGATAATGGCTTTTCTAAATTTTATTGCGCAGTTTCTAGATCTTTAAACTTTTTTCTCAAAAATTCCGAATTTCGGATGTTCTCGTTCTTTCATTTTTATCTCTGCAATTTGAACATGTTGAAAGGTCATCATGGGACCATTGGAAACTATATGCTTTGCGCTTTCTAATAAAATTTGACTTGCGCAAAATCATTGTGAGGGAAGGAATTTATGATTTTTTGAAAATGGTGCGAACGAACTTTCGGATCAACCTAATACATGCGTCGTCACACGCAATCACCTGTGCAATTGCAGTATTTAACCCAATGATGACGACGCCTGACTTTGCGTGGCGGCTCTGTGGAACGACGCGATTTTGCACAACACTTTCGGTGTGGAAAGCTTTGGTTAAAATTGAAAGGTTGTTTTCTAAACAACTATGAACATTTTCTGAACGATGGAGCCTACAGGTCCCAGGAATGGAAAAAAATTGGAGAAAATATTTTTTATGTACCCTATTTTCAGGTGTATAAGCCGCACTTTTTCAAATTTTCGCCCGGGCTGCTCAGCTGCTTCAATTGTGTTTCGAAATCCTTAAGCTGCACGATTATTTCAGGCAATACGCAGCACGGTATAGGGTCCTTTGGTTGCGAGGTCCTTTAATGTGTTCGGGCTGGTCGATGTAAGCTAGGACCACCCCGCGGCTTATACACCTGAAAATAGGGTAAAAAACTAGACCTACAAATATCAGGTTGTCCCACGAGCGTCCGTTCAGACTTTTAATCGCAATAAGTCATGAATTTCTTGCTTCTAGACAGGTTTTGAGGGACCAATCGATAGGACAAAGCAAGCGCTACAAAATGGCTCTTTTACTTTCGCACCAATTCAAATCCATCTCGAATTAGAAGCTAAAAACCAAAAAGATTCAACCGCCCGAAAAATAAAGAAAAACTCTTAACTCCGTATAAAAAAATTCTAAAAAATTTCTAATTTGCTCACAGAGACGCTATCCACATCAGACATTCACATATACTGTTGCTGTATTTTCTCCTTGAATAGAATTCGAAAAAACGAAAATTTTCATGTTCTTGCCAAAGCGATGCTGTACCGTCCCCACGTTGGTATTTATATGCTACAGACAAGTACAAGTACAGACACAAATTTTCAACGCTCTACAGCTTTAGTTCTCGAGAAACATTGAATTTAGCTTTGCACAGTCGGGTGACCCATATTGAAACGATTACCTCTCAAGAACTAAAGCCTGTAAAGCGCTGTAAATTTACGTCTGTACTTGTAAAGGTCTGTAGTACACAAATAGTAATGTGAAGACAGCACAGCATCACTTTGGAAAGAACATGAAAGTGTTAGTTTTCTCGATTTCTATTCAAGGAAAAATTACAGCAACAGTATATATAAATGTCTGATGTGGATAGCGTATCTGTGAGCAAATTAGGAATCTAGAATTTTTCCAAATGGAGTTACGACTTTTTCTTTAATTTTCGGGTGGTTTAATCTTTTTGGTTTTTCGCTTCGAACTCGAGATGGATTTGAATTGGAAAGTAAGAAAGCCATTTTGTAGCGCTTGCCTTGTCCTATCGAATGGTCCCTCAAAACTTGTCCAGAGCCAAAAAGTTCATGACTTATTACGATTGAAAGTTAAAACGCACGGAACTTATGGGACAACTTGATAAAATGATTTTGCAAGAGGGTGGGTCGCCACACCGGTGGTCCACATCTTCCCTGGCAACAAAAAGTGCTTGGGCCACCGGTGGTCCACATCGTCGTCAATGGGTTAATTTTATATCGGCGTCGATCAGGACAGAGATTTTCTTCACTTCGTGCAAACCTTCTGACAATTCTCCTTTCAAAAAACTTTCCAATCATTACTGTCTACTGCCATTAGTTTGCCCCACAGCAGATTTCGAAATTGGTGCAACTACACAAAGTGATGGATTACGCGGAGACTACTGAACTATAGGCGGCTGCATGACGAAGGCGCAAATCTTTACGCGCGAACGCGGCTTTATTAGCGCAGAGCGCGGAAGGCGCAGGGTTTACAACGGTGAGGATACGCGCACGCCGCGTTCGCGCCCGCTCAACTAATACTGCTTCTGCGCCTTCGTCATGCAATAGCCTTTGAATGAGCCTGCACTTACCGAACTACATCTCTAGATGAGCAGGAAATCATGCAGAAGATGATCAAAATTAGTGCAGCCCAAGGCATCCAAGGGATCAGTAACTGGAATATGTGAGATATCGCTAAGAAAAGAGAAACAAAAAAGGCTAAAATGCGTTTTGCGTGGGAAGACAGCTGTAGTAATGTCAAAGACAAGAACCAAATTTTTCTTATGAAAAACGGCAAAGAAATTCAATACGAAGACTCTGCAAGATGAGATGCAAGTCCAACTCCCGCCCATATTAAGAATTTTTTGCTACTATAGAACATATGGAGACAAAGGAGTGCGGCTTACCGCTCCATTCCGTTCCATTTCACTTCCAAGACTTTTTGATGAGGTGTAAAAAATGCGTGACGAATTGCTTTGATAGTTAGCCATGTGTTCCAGAAATACATCTATCCAACTGAAAAATTTACATAATTCGGATAACGCAAATGCGTAATCAACCTCTCCGCTTCCATAGTCGGTTCCAGTAAGTAGAACAGGCGTACGGCTTTTGCTAACTCTATAGAAGCATTTCCTTCTTCGTCTTTTCGCTGTAAATTGATTATATATGTAGATATTGAGACTTAGGCTGTGCTGAGCCGTGTGCCAGCGTCGTGCCGGAATGTCGTCGATCAATGCGAGGCGCGTGCAATAGGCTCCGGCACGACGCTGACACAGCGCTGGCAAGCCATTGGCTTTGAACTCCGCACGCACCGCTTCATCCACCTGGACATCGCCAAAAACTAAGGCATTGTCAACAGACAAGTCTCCAAACCGCAACATAGGATAGCGAAGCAAGAACTGCACCGAGAGTACCTTAAGTTTCACATTTCAATGGTAATTTGATGGAGCTACCCCCCTAAAATCAAGAAAATCAAAATAAAATTCTACCGGTTCATCGTCTTCAAGCGCATAGCCCAACGGGTGCAATGCGCAGGAATCGTGATGGCGAAGACAGATTGTTGAGAACGAAATGTTGTCTTTGACCTGAAAAAGAAAAACCTCTTGATATAGTTTTGTGTTGAAACAGTTGGCACATATACATAGGATGTTCACTTATCTAGTTTTATTTGACATCAAAATGACTAAAAGCTCTAATCTTGGAAGAAATTTGAGAGTGTATTTTTTCTTACCACGGATCGGTTATTATATGTTTTGTACAACATAAGTGGACTTACATCCGTATTTCGATTGAAAGTTTACAGTATAAAATACACTATATTAGCAGACAGCCGAGAAAATTCAACCGCAATTTGTAATAATGAGTTTGAAAATGATAAATCAAATTTGTGATATAAAAACTTAGATTTATTGATATATGAATACGAGTGAGAGAAAGAAATTGAAGATTTATCATTAACAAATAAAGTTTTCATGAGAAACATTTATTGTATTGGACAAATATTTGTCACGGTATATCTTTGAAAAAAAAATGGTTTGCATGCGCTACGCGTGGATTGGACGCCATTGCGGACTTTTTTACCTCCATAAGAGGTATACTTGCAGAGTGTAAGAGACTACGAGACTATGAAGTTATTCTGATGATTTGCTCTCTATGGATTCTCCACATGATATCTGCATATAGTCGTCCACTGATTATAGAATATCGAAAGTCGCATCGACTATCGTTTGGTGAATAGTTTGATTATTGATCGATGGTTTAAAAAACTTGTATCATTGATTACCTAAAATACCTTATTGATGCATTTAGAGGAAAAACCATATTAGGATTAATGTGTTCAATGCGACATAATAGGATTACGGTAATGTCTTCAATGCGATATAAATTGGGTTTTTACGACAACTTTTTGTATTGCTCCACTTACCTTCAGTTTAATGATAGATCTGTGCAGCTTCGCAAGTTCTTCTATCGCTTGTGGAGAAACAGCATTTCCACCGTTGTCTTCGAACAGAATTGAAGCAAATTTTGATCCAAAAACTGAATAAGTATCCCTCTGCGCGTCTCGGGGAGGAAATAAGGAGATCAACTAGAAGAAGGACATTAAGAGCATTACAATTGAGTTATAGAGAATTGTCACCTACTTTTTTGAAGTCCGAGATGCTCTCCATACTATCGGGAAGAAAAATCTGTAGGGTTTCATTGGTAGTGTTCAGTTCGAAATCTGATGCAGCTGCCACAACTATAAAAAGAAAGGTTTTGATGTTTTTTCTTCACAAGTATTGCAAAAAACAACAGAATTACCTAAGAAAACTGTAAGTAAAGGCGGCAATACTAAAAATGGAAGAGGCCATCGTGCCACTACAGATGTTTCCCACTGGAAACGATTCTACAAATTTATAAAGACGGTTTTCCTGTCAAAAATCGGTTATACCTCGAAAAACTGTGACACGATGACCTGGAAGTTGTTCATCCGGTAAGGTTGAGCAGTTCGAACGCAAACTTCTTTCTTAATAATCGCTCCGCCTCAATTACGTTACGCGCCTCTAATTTGCTGACAGATGGTTCAATTGGTTGCGAGGATCGAGGTCGAGAATGTCGGGTAATTTCATACCTAAAGGAAGAAACCATGAACTTTATAGGCGCACGATTTTGTTTTCTATCATCACGAAATTTGGATTCGTTATATGTTTTGAAAATCACCCGTCTCAAATCTAAAGCAGCGATACCAACATGGATCAAATTTGACATTTTTCTATCCAATTTTGTATATTCTCAGATTTTTGTTTATTGGTACATCCTAAATAGCGGTGTAACATGACAAAGGTTTCGAAGATCACCACACGACAAGATGGATACGAAAGCGCTAACTTTTAATTTTTTACGGTCGAAGTCGCTTATTATTATCAACATAGATTACATAGATTCGTGGAGTCATGTCCAAAGCAGACGAAGTAAAAGTCTTTGCAAAAATAATTCATTTCTAAAAGATTCTAATTTTTCTAAATATGAGAAGTAAAACCAGTGGCCGTATTCATCAACGAACCCTGAGTGTTAAATTTACCCCCAGGGTTAGTTTAACCCTCAGGGTTCATTGGCCGTATTCATCAACTAGGGTAGAGTTTGCCACCGAACGCAATCCACCCTATCGATCAACGAACCTGTGGCCGTATTCATCAACGAACCCTATGGTTGATGAATACAATGAACCCTGAGAGTTAAACTAACCCTGGAGATAAAGGCGTCAGTTACGCGTGCGCTGCGCAAACTCACATCACAGAATGCCTAAGTATGTGCTAAATTCACTTTATACTTCTATTCTTTCACTATTATAGTAGTATAATCAATGAATAAGCTTCTAACACTAGTTTTTATAAAACATCTCTAGCATATTTGTGCAGCATCCAATCTTAAGCGTGAGTTTATTTTCATGTGTGCAATTGTGCCGTGTAAGTTCCACTTGTGCGCGGTTCGTTTTATACCGGGCTTGTGCTACTCTTTTAGGGGTCAGTGCGTGTTATCTTAAAGGGGTTCTTCTGTTTTGGCACTTTTCAGACTGGAATGCGCAACCATTTTTCCTCGCCGCATTCATTTGTCACCAAAGCTAGAATTCATTTTCTCGCGAACAGTGTTTCATGTACTTCGAATTTGAACATAAAACGAAGCCGAAATATACTATAACAACAACTAATACTAAATACTACAATACTTAATCGTTTTCCATAAAACTATTAGATGAGTAAATGTTTGTATGAAGTGTCAGGGTAGAGTTAACCTTGCTCTGAGCTAGGGTTAAATTAACCCTGATGAATCACGTAAGTTTAACCCTCCAGGGTTAGTTTAACCCTCACGATTCGTTGATGAATACGGATTAGTCGCTTTCGGGGTAAAATTAACCCTCAAGGTTAGATTTATCCCTCAGGGTTAAGCCTACCCTGTGTTTCATGAGTACGGGTTAGACGCTTTCCAGAGTCAAATTAACCCTCCAGGGTTAGTTTAACCCTCGGGGTTCGTTGATAAATACGGCCACAGGTCGCTTTATGAAATCCGGCCTCGTGCTCAAGGTTCCAAGCCATAGTTTTTTGCACCACACACTTCTAACATCTAGTTTCGCCAAAAATTTACTACAGAATAGATGATACAGTAACATTGATTGATTGTTTGTTTGTTTTCTGTTTGTAACCCTTGTTATCGTTATGTTGTTGCTGTTTGATAAATTCTAATACATATCCCAAGTATACGGTATGCAAGAAACTGGCTACCCCGCAAGGAAGCGGTTGGTTGGTTAACAAGAAAGCTTACAAGTTCACACAAGTTACACATTTCATCAGTAGCTTAACTTTGACCAAATCACACACCGTGGCACAAAAATCTTGTCGCCAAGACGACCACAAGATTGCTGTTGCAACGACGTTTCGGACCGAAACATCTACACCTACACAACAGAAAGATGTGCAAGTGGTACCCGGGCAGCCGAAAGATGCTCCAGCCAGCCGCCGTCGTCTAAAACCTTCGAGAGGTTGTCTCGCACCTCGTCGTGAGGTGCGATATCAGCTTTAGGGATATCGCGATATCCTTCGTTCTACATTAACAGCAGAAAATTCATATTTTACTGGTAAACATGCAGTCGAATAAAAAAAACTACATAAATCTTCGAAAACTCGCAAGCACTTACGATAGTGAATAAGTAGAAAATTAATTATTTTTTGTTACACATCTTGAAATCACAATACGACAACTGTTTATTGACGCTGTAGATTTAAAGGCAGTGTCTCACCAAAATTTAGTTGCCGAGATTTTTGCATTTTGCATGCCTGTAGGATCCTGCTAGCACTGTATGGGCTTAAAATCGCACAAAGTTCCCAAAAACCCCGTTTTCTGAGGCCCCGCGAAAGCAACATGGACTAGTTGCACTCTCCAACTCCAGCCTCAGCCACAGTGGCAGCAACAGAGGGGAGGTGGATGCCAAGTGGAGGGACATGTTCAAACCCGTAAGGGGAGAGACCGAAGGAGTCGTCCGCGCGTACCAAATCGCTCCCCGCATACCACTTTGAGCAAATTTTTCTCAGCATGGAGGGGGTCAAATTGAGTGGGACTTGTTGCAATGGCCTATTTAGAGGTCCCTATAATAGAATTGTGAAGATCCGCGCGACCTCAACTTTGGTGAGACACTGCCTCTAAGGATTTTTAGTTTTGTTTTTCAGTGAAAAATTCTTGGAAATCAAATCAGTTCTTCATGAATGAATTCGAAATGCGGTTCCTTCAAAGCGGTCACTAAGGGTGGTTCTTTCCAATTTTAGACCATTTTTATCATGTAACGATTCTGAATTTCAAATTTTTCACTATTTTTTTTCATTCTTTCAATTTTATCTCAAAATATTAGGTTGTCTCATAATTAATGCACGTTTTTATTTGCTTGCTTTAACAAAGCAACCAGACTCAACCCAACAAAGGGTAAGGGGTACTGTTCGATAGAGCAAAGCAAGCTCCACAAGATGGCGTTCATAATCTTGCGCCATGCTCGATCCACGGAGAGTTCGAACTCAAAATCTAAAGATTTCCAAATGCCCAAAAAATCGGAAAAAATCAGATCTTCGTCCAAATAATTTCTACGGACCTCCCACTCGCTCACATCAATACTATCGATATCTGATATCCATGTGTGCGATTGCCGTATTTTTTCCTTGGCTAGAAACTGAGAAAACGAAAATTTTCGTATTTTTCTGAAAGCAATGTTGAGCCGTTTTTGCATATGTGGTTCTATACTACAAGCCTAGGTAAGCATATCGTAGGTTTTCAGCCTATTTCGAGCGGTACTTTTCGAGAAATGTCGATTTTAGCACTGAAACTGAAACGAAAAAATCCGAATCCGTTATTTTTCGAAAACTACCGCTTGGAATGGGCTGAAAACCTACAGTTATACTTATCTAGGCTTGTAGTATAGAACTACATATGCAAAAACGGCTCAGCATTGCTTTGAGAAAATCAGAGAAATTCTCCTTTTCTCAGTTTCTAGTCAAGGAAAAAATACGACATTAGCACGTATGGATATCAGATATCGGTAGTATTGATGTGAGCGAGTGGGAGGTCCGTAGAAATTATTTGGACGAAGATCTGATTTTTTTCGATTTTTTGGGCATTTGGAAATCTTTAGATTTTGAGTTCGAACTCTCCGTGGATCGAGCATGGCGCAAGATTATGAACGTCATCTTGTAGAGCTTGCTCTGCTCTATCGAACAGTACCCCTTACCCTTTGTTGGGTTGAGTCTGGTTGCTTTGTTAGCAAGCAAATAAAAACGTGCATTAATTATGAGACAACCTAATATTAGCATTTTATTTCAATGTATAATACTTGCTAAGAATTGCATGGATAACATTTCGATATCTTCAGGTTTTACGCTGTTCTCCTTTATACCAGCATGTATGGCATAAATCACCTTTTATCATTGATTTATTCAATTTATTTGACTAGTTTGGCTTAGTTATCTCGCTTCACAGACTGGGTCATGAAATACTGATTTTGAGAGACTTTTACGGTCAAATCAATAACGTTTTCCCGTGATTGTTCTCGTCAGTTCTTCGACGTTGAGCAAGAAAAAAGATCAAAAATAGAGATTACCTGAATTCCATTCTGGTCATTTTGGGTATTCAAAGTGATACGATTTCGTGCAATGCCTTTAAGAAGCTCTTCTCCGTAAGCTTTGTTTATTTGCATAATTCTTGATAAATTATGATTTTTTTGCTGTTTAAATCGATTATCGAGTATTTCAGGCTACCCCTGAGGCTAACATCGCACTTCAGCGCGACGAGGTGCGATGTCAGCCTCTTGCGAAGAGTTCTAGAGAGCACAAACAATGGCGGTTAATCGACTTAAGGAGGTAGCCGAGATAAACGACCTTTCGACAAGTAAAGGTGTAGCATCCATTACGGCTATGTTCTCACTGATCAAAATAAAACGGATTGTCGAACAAGAGGACCAAATTAAGAGCAGTTTGAGGAGCACTACTAATGGACTGGACTATTATTCGTGAAAGGCTCGCCAAAAGACTGGATCGCAGAGTACAAGTTATTTCTGGATAAATAAGGAACAAAAAGAAGATAGTAGTCAACCAACTTATTCAATACTCATTAACCAAGCTGAAACCAGAGGCATACAAGGCATGCGAAATGACGATATTCTCGGGTGTCTGATACGGAGAAAACTCTCAACAACACTCTGCAAAACACCTGGCTCCCTGAAGCTATGATTCGAGAAGAACATTACCAGGAGCATCTCGGCATAGGTCACACAAGTGCGCTGGTACAATACAAGTTTTGGATACCTAAGTTACGTGCACGAGACTCATTCGACGTTGCGTGGAATGCCAATGTTATATAATAATAACTGCCCGTACAATTATCCAAATCAGGTTGATCGCCACAAATAAGGGTGCAACAATCGAGCCCCTTCCAACACGCTGGACTGGACTATTTCAGTCCCATGATGGTGAAAATCCAGGAAAACGCAAGTAAATGCTATAAAGCTACTTTTACCTGCATAGTAAAGGATATTCGTCGACGACTGCCCCAACTAGTGCAATTACACCACCGTGGGCGTGCTTTATTGCACCCTTTCCAGCTTGACAGTAAGACAGGACAGAACAGGGAAAGGATAGGGATGCTGCGAGCTACCAAGTCCCCGTGAGCTGCAGTGTATTGTCAAGCTGGAAAGGCCCCCAATGAGGCAGTTCAAGATGGTGTTCTTGCACGAGTTGGGGCAGTCGTCGACGAATATCCTTTAACCAGACTTATTCATTTGGATGTCGTCCGACTTCTCCACTACAGCATTTCTGAACGTGCTGCGGAGATTCTTTGGAAGAAGAGAAGTTCCAAAACCCATCACAAGTGACAACGCTTCCACATTCCTACGTGAGTTCACCCGTTCAACGAGACAAACATAAGGCCCATCGATTACGTACAAAATAAGGTGATAGTTATACTGGACTATTCATTTGACAAGGTCAATCTACACGACGAGGATCCACCTTATTTTCCATCTGGAGAGCAAGTTGTTCTTCGCACAACGTCCCAAACAATCCAACCGCTAGAAAGTTTCTACAAGCCCACAAACAAGTTTAGAATCTTTGGCAGACACAGTATGTGATGGCGCTTTGAGAGAAACACAAGTTACAAGTTGGTCATTACAAGCCCATTTCGCAACCGCAGAAAGACGACTGCGTCTTGATCACAGACCCCAAGGGAGACGCATTACAGAGCTATCGAAGAGCAAGGAAGGATAAGAAAGAGAAGCAATTGTGGTCCAACCATTCAAAAAACAGATATGCAGACCAGTAAACCTTCTTGTACCACTGAAGCTAAAAGGTAGCAGGACGGCAACCCAACGAGATAGCCCATTCTCCTAAGGAAACCCCGAACGTACCAAATGAGACCACGGAATCCGATATACCACGAAAAAGACGAAACTATTTTCCACCTCCAGTTACACTTGAGCGAAACTTCTCAACAAAGCTATATGCCATGCCGGAAATTTTCCACGATTATACACTTCAGAAAAAACAAAAATTAAAATCCACCAGAATAGAAAACAGCAGGAAAATCTTAAGAATGGCATTCAATACTACAAATGAAAGATAAATAAAAATCAGAAAACACAATTTCAAGATAATGTTCGAATAGCTCGACAAGGATGTGCAATGCTCGCAATCATTTTGAGGTGCAACACCAAGACCTGATTGGAAGAATTGGAAACAGCTGAAGCTTGCAAAGGAAGGAATAAACCGACAAGTGGAAGCAGGCAAAGCAGTGAAGAACGACTACGCATACCTCAAAGAAGACTTCCATATCTCACAAGGAAACACACGAGAACTGATGATAATGACAATTCGCCTTCGCACACGGCGAACAGCGTCAAGGATCGCTTCGTCATGTTATGTACCCGATACTGTTGTACAAGTATTACGACCTCCATTTTGTACACGATGGAACAAGTACGACAAGCCCACAAGACTTTAATGGCCCGTTTGTGGAGGAAAAGCACCATCTGTAAGAGATGAAAGGAGTGACTCGATAGAGAAGAAGAGATGTGAGGTCGTAGAGAGCGTGAGCTATTAGAGAAGCGAGAACAGCGATGCTGAAAAACCGGATTATAAGGAGTTTGGAGGGCCGAATAAAAAGGCAGGACGATTATTAGAATGAAAGCGTCATCAGAGAAGGGGACAAGTGCACAAGATGTGATGAATCAAACAGAGTACAGGACCACAAATATCGCAACACAAACAGTAGGACAACCGGCAATGAATGGTTTTGTTGAAGAAGCAGAAGAGACAGAAGTGATGCACATTACGCACGACGACGGATGTGAGAAAGAAGATGTATCAGATAAGACCGGCTGGTAGTCGTAAACGAAGACTTCTGCAACGATGCTGACGACGAACCAATGGACGACGACCGATACTTCCCCACAAGTTATTGACGGAAGACGAAGAGCAGATGAATGTAGAGACCGCACAAGTAAGAAGAGAAGCAGAAAAGAGGTAATAAGGGTGCAGAGCTCGCTGATGAGATATAAGAGATGTAGCGGATTCTACAAGTATTTCCGCATCGTCACTTTGGAGAAGTCCCACAAGGGATACACGTACAAACCGCATTCTGCGGGGCATCGGATGTACACTACCCAGACTCCTGCCCCAGAGTGACGAAAGGAGATGCCCGCTTCGAACTTGTACGAAGAGACGCGCTTTGTATGTACTGTTTGGAATCGTGCCCTGCAGAACAATGTCGTTTCAATAATCGACCATGCTTTTACTGCAAGAAGACCGAGGGCACAATCGTGGCCAGGCTGATTTCTTGTGATGATGGACATCACAAGACCTTGTGTACGGTACCGGACGAGGCGACATAATGTGAGAAGATGGATTAGTGAATTGAGAGAACGCTGCAGCCGCGCACGTTGGGAGTTTATGAAGTTCAAGACAAGTAATTAGTAGGAGGAAGCCCTGTGGCTGGAGTGTCGCCAAAGTCGACTATTGAATAGATAATACTGTAATATTAACACATTGACGACTGCTTGACACACATGGTGTGTCAAGCAATGACTACCGCGTGGGACCGCTTGACACACCATGTGTGTCAAGGTCTGAATTTTGGTAAAATGACTACTATCCTAAAATAAACTTACTCCATGAGTTTTCTTTTGCACAGTATCTAGGGATGACTTCTACCTTTCTTGTCAACCTTTCAGATCTACTGTAGGTGTACTGTAGATGGCAGTATGCTTAATTATAGTTAAAAAAGTAGGCTGGTCCGTGAAAAGGCCTTGGTCCCAAAAGGCAGACAGCTGAAAATCTGCATGGTCGTCAATGTGTTAAATGATTGTTCGTTTTTTCTATTTGTAGCCATTGTTATTGTTATTGTTCTTGCTGTTTCATAGATTCTAATATTATATCCCATGTATACAGTATGCAAGGAACTGGTACGCAAGGAATTGATTGGTTAACAAATAAGCATGCAAGTTCATACAAGCTAAACATTTCATCAGCAGCTTAAATCTGACCAAATCACAAACCGTAACACAAAAATCTTGTCGCCAAGACGACTCCAGAAGATTGATGTTGCAACGACATTTCGGACCGAAACATCTACACGGCTACGCAGCTTGTTGCAATACACGGATTTAAAAGCACCAATTTATTCAGAACGAGGCTAATCTAGATCAAGGCGACCAATCATTGAAATTTGATCTCCGGAGGAATATAAATAGCAGTCGATCGGAGAGTGAGGGTCATTCATTTCAAAAGTTTTTTTTTGGGGGGGGGGGGGGAAAGAAGGTCGAGAGGATATTATAGGTGCACGAAGGGTACATGGTAGAAGTACTGCAGTTGCGGGTATAATACAAGTGTAAGATTTCATAGAGCAGTCATAGTAGTAGTATTAACCCGAGCCTACTTCGAAGTTCGTCTCTTCCTACCACTAACACGCAAGCTTACATTTGTATAGCATACATACCGTACCTGCTGCTTGTTACTAGACAAATCAAAGGTTTACTTATCCTAGTTCGAGGTACCATACAATCCGCGTGGCACCCAAACCGAACTTCACCCAGCCAACATTTGCTACATCTAGGTTCACCATACAAAAGCGCAAACAAACCTATCAAATCCTTCTGATCCCTAGAAAATTGCGCGTTAAACATACCCGCTTATCCGGCCGTAACTTGAGTCCACATCATCACCTTATGCAAAGTAACGGTTACATTTGGCAAGCAAATGTGCAAACCATAAATTAGCCCAAAAAAAGATTAAAAGTTTATTAAGTTACGAAACGGCGCCAAGAAATTGGATGCGTAGTTTTAGTTTGCCAAAGTCATCTCCAAGTATTTTAGAAGAATTTCATATGTACTCTGTTCGTAAAACCTGGGCATTATAGTTATACTATCTTCCGCGATGTTTTGCCACACAGGTTTGTTATAAGTATTATTTATTCAGCCTGACGTTTCGGCAGTAATGCCTTCCTCAGAGGCCTGAAAGATAGTCTGGCTCAGTATTCGCTGCTTTATGCGATGCCGTCCTCCTACGAACTCGAATGTCTGGTTTGTCATGCAACCTATATCGGAGAGACGAGGCGTTTACTCAGCATCCGCGTTAACGAACATCTAGCCAGCAAGAAACGGGGAAGCACGATGAGTCCACTCGGAAAACATAGAGCAGATCACGGCGGTAACGATTTTGCGTTAAGTGCACGATTTTGGCGTATGAAAGTAAAATTGCGGCTCGCAAAGCACTGGAAGCGTCGTTCATCCTCTCGCGTCAGCCAAAGATGAACGGCAAGAATGAACAGCTATCTATCACCAGCGATCTTATGCCGTTCATATCGTATTGTCAGCTTTAAGATACCCACGACTACTTAAGCTGTCCATTAGTGTGACAGTTCAGTCATTTGTCATCAGTGGGTAGATCGTAAGTGAGCGGCGTTGCTGACATCGGTGAGTTGCCGTAGCATGAGGACTCAGTACCGTCCACTTAGAACGAATTGAATGAAGCAAGTGGAGGACGGCATCGTATAAAGCAGCGAATACTGAGCCAGACTATCTTTCAGGCCTCTGAGGAAGGCATTACTGCCGAAACGTCAGGCTGAATAAATAATACTTATAACAAACCTGTGTGGCAAAACATCGCGGAAGATAATATTTTAGAAGAGTTTCGCACAAGAATGTAGCCAACGATTGTTATTTTCCCTATGGCGACTACAAAGTCATAAATAATTGAAAACTGCATCTGTTCTTCTGCGAGGTTTCATCCATGCGAATTACCGAGCTCACATGATAAAGCTTGAAATGAATAGTTGTTTGAATTTTATCACCACCAGTGGGTCAATTCTACCCCCACCAGTAAGTCAATTCTGCTTCACAGAGGTTTGCACTGCGTAATGCTGACTATCACGAGCAGATTGTGAACAATTACTCAATTCTATTCTTTTTTGGCGGCGTGGCTTTATACTACAAAGTCCTCGCCGCCAAAGCTCGCCGCCACAGTCGGCACGCGCGCCGAGATGGCGTACGGTATTCCGTACCCAATTTGCACCGGTGCGCGTGAGCCATGGCAGCCGCGCGGATGCAACCGTCCAGCTTCGTCGCTCGCGACGTCGCGACATTCATGAAAAGTTGCATAAAAACACTCAGAATAAATCGCACTTGAATTTCAACGCGCGACATCGTCCGTCGCACCGCGATAAGGTGCGGTGTTTTATTTTGTTTGTTCTTACTTCGATTTAGGTTTTGTTCTAGGTGAAAGGAGATATTTTCCTTAGCTCTTAAAATTTCATATGAAATTTCACTTTACGAGACGTGACTAGGCCTTTAAACTTCAAGCAAGCGTTTTCATTACAATACCTTCGAATTGTTCAAAAATAATAGGAACATGAAACCAAAAAAGGAACAAAATGAACATTTTCAATCTTGCATATCGCCGTGCGACAGAGGATGCCGCGCGTTGGAAGCTGAAAGAGCAATTTTTTCTGAGTGTTTTCATTTAACTTTCACGGAAGTCACGACATCGCGCGCACCGTCGTGAGCGACAAGCTGGACGAGGCTGCGTCCGCGCGGTTGCCGCATGGCTCACGTGCACCGGCGTAAAATGGGTGAGGATATGTAAGATCGGTAATTTCGCACGCGTAAAACACTTCGTAGAAAAGCAAGCGCAAGTTTGGATCTGTTTGGTGCTGTTTTCGCGAAGTGATAGACCCCTTTTTGGGCTAAAGTCCATGGTTTGCACATTCTTTTGTCAAGCGCATCAATAGCTCTGAATGAAGTAGTGATACGGACCCCATTTTGAGGACCGGGAGCCAAGTGGCGTTTGATAAGCAAGTTTTAAGGAATTGACTAGGCGGTACCTGTTTTTGCCTGTTGAATTATCATGTGGTAGCATGCGCTACGCAAAATTTGGACTCAGCACGTTGGCTGAAACACGATCTATGAACTTCGTAACTGACTGACAGACGCACACGAGATCACGTAAACATCCTTAGCCTTTACCATAAGGTACTAGCTAGCATGCCCAACTTCGCTTGCATTCGCCTGAGTCTAACTGATTTAACAAAAAAGAAAATTGGTGTTCAAGTTCAAAGGCTCAACTTATAAACGCGTCGGCTTGTTTCTTCTTGTAACGTGACGCAGTATAGATGATCCGTACTTCATAGCCTTAAGTACCGCATTTGCCGCTTTGTGAAATGAAATTAAGTTTAGCTGTTTACACGAAATTTGGAGGTGATTTGACAGCAATCTAAGAAAATTCATTTTTCTCAAATATTAAATCAATAGAAGGGGGAGTTTGGCTGCGAAAGTATTACGAGGTTTACACGAAATTTGGAGGTGGTTTGACAGCAATCTAAGAAAATTCATTTTTCTCAAATATTAAATCAATAGAAGGGGGGAGTTTTTCTGCGAAAAGTATTACGGGGTGGACCGGCGTGGAAAACATATGTGTGCAGAGTTTGGCATTGATTGATCCACACACAAA